TTGTGTTTTACAATTTGGAAAAGAGTCTGACACGTTCTCTCCTCTAAAATGTAGTTGACCCTCCACAGTGGACAAAAATCTTAACATTATTTTTTAAAAACAACTTATATATACATGTGTGTATGCTGTTTATACATATAGGTTACCAGAAAGATGGCAGTGGTTATTCAGAGAAGTTATAACCGATAGACCCCTACTGACATCTTTCTGTCGAATAAGAGTTTATATGCTTTAGTTTATATGATTTAGTTTTGTATCTATAAAACAACATCATACATTATATGGTAACTATCATTGGCGTCGGAGGGGTAGGGCGTTGGGGGCGCCCCCCCCCCCTTTCCCAGATTTTTTAGATTTGAAACCTCTGTCGATTGATAGTTATTTTTGTTCAACATCAAAACAAAAAACTCCCCTATGGACTCCTGGTTTAAAAGCTCGCCTATTTTCAAGACGGTCGCCATTTTTGTCTCACGAAATTCACTTTTGGACCATTTGCTAGGTTTACAAATAATTTCAGGTGTCCTGCAGAAAATTATGTCCGTTTTTTTAATTTTCTGCCATTTTAGCCATCATTCACGTTTGAGCAACACCATGTGAGCCCAGTACCCACGGTACTATTTTTTTTATCATTGGGGATGTTGTGCTGAGATATGTTCAGAATGCACCAAAGAGGGTCTAAATTTGAAAATTTTCTAGGGACATGCCCCCCCCCCTGATCCACGCTTCACGCACGTCCCATTCATATCCAAAAGTCGCTGCCCCCTCCCTTGGCAAATCCTGACGCCCCTGACTATGATACTAATATGGTTCTATATCTTTCTAATATTTAAGCATACAAAGTAAAATACCTTTATTTACGAGCTCCTGATTTTCACCATTGTTGTAATAACCTGTTTAATCTTTGGTTGAACCATCAATAGGCTATACATGAGGGAAATGGACTGATCTGCTATGGTGGTGGTTGCATGATTTGCAGACCAAATAATTTGACCTAAAAGTTTGTTGAAAACTAGTTCTTTTCTAATTTTTTTTCATTTTCTGTGAGTTCAGATCAAACAGACAGGTGGTCATTTGCCGCCAAATTCAAAACTAATGAAAAAATAGTATCCGACGGATACAAACAAACCGAACACTATCGAAAATGAAAACCAAATTATGTTTTTCTAAAAATATGGAAACAATGACGTTCACTTTCACGTTCACAAAAAAGGAACATTTTGCAAAGTTGCAAGCTTTATACTAGAAAATATGAAATAAGACAACATATCCAATTTAACACCCATTTCAAACTCGATCTTTCTTAGCCAGACACCCCAGCAACGACTTAGCAACGATGTCACACATGAACCAATCATTTATGAGAACAATCGCAATATGTCTTAATAATATGAGAAATGATTAAATGTGTTGTGAAAATATCTGTATTTGCAAATTGTCATTTTTAAGCTGATAAGTTATATTTATACTGTACTACTATTATATTATCACAAATACACAGCGTTTATCAGCCTTGGCATAATTTTTTTATTTGATCTGTCAATGTTGAAATATGATAGAAGTAATTTTGAAGCAAGTCATTAGGTGTGAGCCTATGTTGAGAATAATTCTTTTTAAATAAGTGTCACAACTGCACTGACAATTTCTTTCGCTCATAACATTTGGACATTTCTGCACATCAAATGTTTATATTTGATAAGAAATATCAATATCAGCCGCTGGCATTTGTTTTAAATAATTGGTTCCAACATTAAACCCGCTCTATTCATTGCTGTTACTTTAAAGATTGGCATTGATGCAGAGAAAATATGAAAATATATCTCCATCAAAGTGCATAGCTGACAAAACACAATTAAGCATATTGCTTGATGGTATCATTCTCTAGGAAAAAACATGTAGCAATAATCTTTAAAACATCAAGAAATCATCCCGAGACCATTCATTTGATTAAGTCGCGAAGCTAAGTAATCATTTCCATAAGACTTCAGTCCTAAATATCGGATTCACATGAGTGGATTTTATTCTTACGATGTCTAGAAAGCTAGAAGAGGCTCAAATGAATCAGGCAGAAGTTGCGTAGATTAATTACTATCTTAGTCAAGGGCGAATCTAATGTCGTTTTGAGAACTAGTTTGGTTCGACTGGGGGTTAGATTACCGTTTTTTTTTCAGGTATTCTTCAATAACAGTTTATACATTCATAATATATTCGCCCAATTGGGCCATGATAAGAGAGTGTTTCAAAGCTGCAGCAGTTATCTATGGCCAGCTATATAATAAATATACACTGTTGAAACTGTTATTATTGTAATTAGGTCATCCAAGTACAAAACGAATTAAGTCAAGTAATTAACGTTCGCTGTTATCGTTAACAAAGTAAATGTAAGCGGGGATTGGGAAATATAAAGCGATAATGTAAACATTCACGCCGTCGTTAATGAGGGATTTAGAAACACGAGGTCAGTATCTCCACGAGAAAATGAATGGCCAGGCTTGATAATGTCAACATTCTACAAACATCGTTGGTCTGTAGGAAGAGAGTATCTTTTCGTCATGGAAACCAATTTTTCTTAAGTATTATAGGTCCATTGAACTTCTACATGTTATTTTAGTCTATCGAGCGCATTTTCCGGGGAAATAAAGTCCTTGCAATTGGCTGGTATGAATGGTCCTGTACTGGGAATTCGGGTAAAAATGGACCAGATTTTCTTTATAGGAATTGCAGAAACGGTAGGGAGAACTGAGGAAATATACAGTATATATGTATTTAGGTATTAAAAAGATTTAGTAAGCGATGTCACATTGTGTTATGATGACAAAATTCAAAATGACAACCCCTTGTAGAATCCTAACCCCGGGAGTACAAGTGACATTTATATTTAACTTGGCATACATATGAGGTGTAAAATCATATAGACTAATAGTTTAAATGTTTAAAAGGATGCGTTTGTTGTTATTCTTACACATTTTTAAATGCATATAGCGCAACACCAGGCATGCTGTTAAACGGTTTCTAGACAACTCATCCCAAGACAACTCATCCCAAGACAACTCATCCCTAAGACAACTCATCCCAAGACAAGTCATCCCTAAGACAAGTCATCCCAAGACAACTCATCCCAAGACATCTCATCCCAAGACAACTCATCCCACTAATATAATCTACAAAAAATATCAATTAGTTATAAATGATTTAATTTGTCCTCTATATAATATATATATCCCTTTTTCATTTTTGCGATTACAAAGTGATATTTGATTATACACTCAATCTTAATATTGATAATTTTTAGGATTTTGAAATGGCACTTGAAAGTTATGTTCTACTTTTACGTACCGGTATGTTTTATTAATTCTGGGTTATTCTCAAATTCTCAATATATTTGAGAATATAGAATTGAAGATAAAAGTAAAAGACATAATTTCCAAATTCAATCATGATGATTCTGAAAGTTTAAAATTTGAAATCTTATTGAAGAATAAGCCAAATATGACATATTGGAATTAAGCAAAATATGTTAAAACAAAGACTGGATTAATCTGGGAGAATTATTCTGATAATACCCCCCGGATAATACATTCTTATTGCATTAAGCCTAATCTGACACCCTTGATGATCTTTTATATAATACTCAAAGTATATATCAATTTGAACATGTTTATCTTTATCCCAATCAATCAAAAGAAAATTAACTGAAACTAGAGTAAACTAACTACAAAATACAAAAGATATTCCATGGCCAAACACAGTGTGCTTACTGCTAAAATCTCTAAATATGTTTCAAATATTCTTTCAAAAGTTAAATTTAATTGTATAAAATTATGTTATATTTCAAGTTGGGAAGAGTTGTCTTGGGGATGAGTTGTCTTGGGATGAGATGTCTTGGGATGAGATGTCTTGGGATGAGATGTCTTGGGATGAGTTGTCTTGGGATGAGATGTCTTGGGGATGAGTTGTCTTGGGATGAGTTGTCTTAGGGATGAGTTGTCCTGTTTCCTGTTAAACCAGTGTTTTCTTCTAGTCATATTCGTATGCAACATCTATATATATATATATATCAAGGTGACCACGAGGCGCGCCCCATAAAATTAGTCCAAATATATGAGCGCCAATCGTGATGTATGTTTAGCCTAGTTCGATTCATTGAGTTATACCCAGCTGGTGATGGTAGTCTATGGCTTTTTAATGAATCTTTTGTTGCATTTCTCCACATGATATGAGACGAAAACATAAAGTTAAAAAGTGTCGTTGTTTGTTGAAAGCCATTTAAAAAAGTCGTCGATGAACTATGGTTTTTATCTCCTTAAAATTAACTTTAAAGTTCCAAACTTTCCAAAGTGTTCAAAGACGAAACTCGTCGTTCAGTTTTGGAGATAACACATCCTCACTGGCGGATTAGTGGGCATCCTTGGGGCTTGTTTTTTAATTTTAGGCCAAATCATCAAGAAATGGGCCTTAAATTTTGGGCCAGGTTTGTTGCATGCAGCAAAGTCTCATAAACTTTTATACTCAACAGTGGCTCAAATAATATAAATACCATAATCCAGAGTTTGTATTGAAAAGAAAATCAGCACTTTGATTGAATAACTTGAAAGTAACATGCCCTTCATTGGTTAACTAGCTATTTTAATTTAAAGATGAAGATCATTCTAGTTGCATATGATCTGACACTTGGGGTATAGTGTAATCCTATGGGTGTCAAATCCATTAGGTAGATGAAGCCCTCTTTTAAAGGAGCAAATTCAAATTATTCGAAAGAGTAGGCTATCTAGCTAGAGTTAAGGCGACTGATCGATGTGGTAATTGAAAGACTACAATAGCATAACATACATTTCTCGCACCTCATTCATCAACAACAACAATAATGGTCTACTTTAGTACTAAATATATCCAATACTTTTATATCAGAGTGTTATAATTAATGTTGTGCTATCGTTTCACAAGATAGATAACATGCGATGTTGTTGTAGTTTTCATTTGGTACAAATCAGTGCCACCAGATAGCGTGGGGGTAGTTGTTTAATATCAGGACCGAGCACAGTGTGCTAATACCATCACAACACAGCAAGTAATTGGATACAGCGGCTCTGCAGTTAGAGTGAACAACCCAAAACTAGTGAGATATAGCCTTTCTTGAAGGTGCAGCGGGCCGTTGCACGAAAGGTTAATCTGAAACACAACCAGCTATTTAGTTAAACAGCTTTTTCAGACCAACATCAGTCTTAGTCACACATTCTAAGGATTTATCTGTGAGGTGTACGGAAAACATGAAAAGCGATATGGATGACCAGAGTGGCGAGCACACTGCTCTGCAACAGCCTGCTGTAATGCACCGAACAAAGAGACAAAGATGCTTGGCAATGGTGAAAAGCAACTTGCTCCTAATTCTTCTTTTATCAGGAATGGCTTTAGGTATAATTTTGGGGGTATGTATGAGAGAAGTAAGGCCAAAATTTACCCGGGATCAAATACGATATTTCCGACTACCAGGAGACCTGTTGCTCAGAATGCTCAAGATGTTAATTCTTCCCCTGATCGTGTCTAGTCTGGTGACGGGCCTCGCTGCCCTGGACGCAAAGTCCTCTGGAAAAATGGGTCTGAGGGCTGTGGTCTACTACATGGCCACGACACTCATTGCTGTCATCATCGGCATCATTCTTGTTGTATCCATACGCCCAGGAAAACTCGACGTGAGTGGGACAAACCAGACCGTCGTGTCCAAACCCAGCGAGATCAGTGCTGCAGATACGGCTATAGATCTTATTTTGTAAGTTGTATATTATACCTAACCTATATTCACTGTCCCTTTCCATTCATTATAATGCCATTCATTTAGAAGCTTAGAGAGTTAGCTTGTAATCTGATCAGATTTGCGCCTAGTGACATGCAACCGTTAGTTTGTAACAGGGATCAACTGAGACGTTACTCTTTACATTGCTGGTGGTCTTAATTAACGCCAGGCTTCATATATCTGGTTGTGAACTATAAATGTCCAACTATACATAGTCAAGTATGTCAGGTCGACCCTAAAACATTATCATACTACAACTCAATTCTATTCAATGAAACGAATTGTAAATAATGTAACTTCAACTTATTTGTGTTAACATGCGAGCATTATTTTTTAACAAGTTAGATCCTAGAACAAACACACTTTTGTAAACTGTTTTTGCGATGTAGAAATTATGAATGTGTGCTTTAAGGGATGTCGTATTCAAGTATGATAGGATACCTCCAAACATAGTCGTTAAAACTTAAATCGGATCAATGAATATAACGGTTCTAAATAAAGGATACGAGTTTGAGTTTATGAATGTACCACCATCCTCTATATTGATTTTAATAACACAAGAGAATGCATATGAAATAGAAATACTTCTACATGGTGCCAACGCAAGGTCACGTTTAGTGATGTTCTTTTTAGGGGTATGATGAACGACTATGTTTAATGATTCCGACGTATGCCAAGTTCGTCAGAAAATTCCTAGGTGTCGGGTTTGAGTTATATTCCACATCTGAGTAAATACACACATTTGCATTTGAGTACTTACTTAACGTTTCTTTTTTCAGCAAAATGTTTCCTGATAATCTAATAGAGGCTACATTTAGACAAGTAAGTATAATGTTTTTGGACTATAATCGCACCAAATGGTAGCATGCTAAGAGCCTTTACTATTTATGGCAGTTCAGTGACATTCTAGGATAAGCCCAAGTACAACAGATTAGACCGCCAAATAAATTTATATGAGAGATTATGTTGTAACAGGTCTTTATAAATGTCTTAACTTTCCGCTAAACGACACCTCCTTTCGATTATTTGTAAACTCCATTGTATCATTGACCCCTTTAAACCAAACTGGTTTCACTTTCAAGTTCTTTATAATTATCATTTAGATGTATCAAGTGTTTGTAACTCAATTTAAAAACTCAACAGTCAATAGTAATGATTATTGACCGACTGTCAATTTTGACCGTGTAATGCATTTGAGATTCCCCTTGTATAGCATCATCATTTATAAGTGGGGAACGTGTCACGGACTGCGAGAATGATGAATCTTGAATTTCTTTTACCAATTATGCATACTATTTTATTATGCTTAAAATGTTAAAAAACATTTATAGACCTCTCCATTTTCATCGGTTACTACTGGACATTACAACTGCAAACCTATATAAGCTATATACCTGGAGTAATAAGGTTATGAATAATTTTAACAATCAACCTCGATGCATATGTCAGTGCTTATTGCCAAATGCTGGAGTCATTTGAGAGTGTAGGGCGACATAATGACTTGAAAAGTGCACTGATTCATTAGAATTGAAAGGGTGTGAAAAGATACATATGTTTCTCTTAATTGTTTATAAAATGTAAAAGAACCCCCTTAACATGATTAATGCTTCTTGAGAAAGCGAGTTCAACAAATAGGAAGTACTACTAACAGAAACTAAATACATTAATGGCGACATCCGGTCTCAGGTTGTCTACTGTGACATATAATTTAAAAAAGGTGGCCATAGATGCCCCTCATTGAGGCTACAATTTTGCTCGTTGTTTTTCATCGTTTGTGTGTTTTGTAAAAAAACGCACTTAAGGTCCTCTTCGTACTGAAGTATATCTCAAGCGAACAAGTGTACATATGTTTCAAGTGTAAAAATTAAGTACAAGATAAACAGTTCATATGGACATACACACTTTTGGTGACATTTTTACTAATCATTAGCGCGATTAATGTTAATACTATTAACCCTCAGGCGAGGGCATGGTAAATCAAATAACCCAACGTCAAATTATGTGATCCAGGGTGCAACACGTACATGTGCATCAGTACAGCATGGACGTGCAAGTGGTGCCATTGGAATCAATGTCACAATTATCAAGTGGAAACTGTCAAACATCATTGTGTGATCCACAGCCTGTATTATCCTTTGGAAATACACAGGCTTTATGTTAAGAGGGGCTCTCATAAATCAGAACGGTCAGACATGTATTTTCGGCAAATGTGTTAAAATAGCCAAAATCATTTTATGTACAGATGTATATCATCGTCATGATACATAATTAAGATTATCAATTATCTTATTTTTGTAAGTTACATGCGTTGAGCTTATAGAAGTAGTATCCAACTATGTATGGTGTATTATTAACACGAGAAGCATTACATGTGTGGTATTTTCAATATTGAAGGTCAAATGTCAGTTTAAAGGTCAAATCACAAGTTTCTTGACGTTTCTCAAGGGCTGACGCTTCCACTTCAATATTCTGAAATTTTGTATGCAGGAATACTTATTAGCAGTGTTCTATTAGTTCTGGTCTTTTGCAGTGTTGTCAAGATCGTTGAGAGATACTAGAGAAAAAATATCAATTTTAGTGACCTTGTAAACCAGTCAATTTTTGGAAATGATGATTTGATTCAAATATAGCTCGTATGGGTCACAAAAGGGCCAAAGACGTTGTCAGACTTATTTTGATGTTGAAATCTACAACTTGATATTTTTATCTGCGATTATACAGAGTGAACCAAAAAGGTAACCCAAACCCAAACAAATGTTAATAACTCAGTCATTTGGAACGTTCTTTTATTCTACGTAGTTTCATTGATCTAATCCACAAGTTGGTCACGATTGGTCAAATACAAAACATACCCAAAATCTGGGTCTCGTCACTGGAGGCAAATTTAAATGCATCGAGTGAAGTTATTCTGATTCTCATGTTCCTTCTCATCTCTTGTTTCAACTCTCTGATGCTTCTAGGGTTATTAGTGTAGACATTATCTTTGAAATAACCCCTAAAGATAAACTCCGGGGATTCATATAGGGTGAATCGGACTTAAAGGAAGTCAAACAAAGGTTCACTTACAAGTGCCGAATGTGACTTCAAACCCATGCTGGATCACGGAGTTATTTTCATTTGTTAGGTTACCTTTTTTGGCTCACCTTGTATTGCAGAGATAAAAAGCCTATAAAATCAATCCAACCATCGGAGTTAATAAATTATATTATACTGAATGATTTCCACTAAACAATAAATCTATGTATACTTTATTAGTAATTTTTAATAAAACAAAACGTGCAAAATTACCATAGCGAGCATTTCCTACACTTCATATCCAAATCCATATTAATATCCCTTCTTCCTTTACTACAGAGCGAAAAGCATAAAATTGACTGATTAAATGCAACATATATCTCATTCTTATTTCGGGATGTCATGTCACTTTTAGAAGTAATATTCTCGCCCTTCGACCATCGGAATTTCACTCGTGAGGAGAGAGATGCGCGGGTATTATCCTCAATGGAACTAAATATGTTTAATATTGACTATTAAAGCACATTCGATAATCAGTAGGCAGTAATGACTTGGAACTTTATTACTTGAAACCAGAAACTAAAAAAATAATTATCAGGAAGCAATGTTTATTTCTCGGCGTTAAGACTATGAGGTGACAATTGATGAAAAATAGATGGTTTCTTACTACAACTAATTATTGTAATTCCTAGCTGTTTGTCCTGTGTCTATTCATTAATTTATTATAATCTTCAACCATTTTGTATCAGTTTTAAGAATAGATATATGAGTTCAAAAACTGAAAACGGTATTTTCCAAATTTTCAAGGTCAAAATTTAATCTTTATTAAAAAGTCGCCAGAAATTTCATTTACTTCATCTGTGATTCTTGAATGTTGATGTTTATATCTATAACAAACAAAATAGACAATGCAAAACATATTTAAAAAGAGATAAAATTCCACTGCAGCCATAGAGGAATATAGGTCACTTTGCCATCTGGCCAAGCTCCAACCATAGGTTATAGCCTGAAAGAGTACGTTCTTCATTGAATCTAATTCCAATATTCAAGTGTTTAGATATTTCATTTCAGAAAGTAAAGAGCAAATACGTATGATCTAGTCCTTATTTTTGATGCCCCTGAAATCTGACAAGGTACTATCATCCTTCGATCCTTGTAGGTCCTTGGATTTAGGTCAAGTTAACCATGCACCTGTCGTCTAAAATAGAATGGCATTTGCTTGTTCTCATTGGTCAGAAAGAGATGTATAGAGTGAAACTGCCTAACATGTATAAGCAGTATTGTAATTATTAATCATCTACAACCCTTTTGTCTTATGATTTGTAAAGAATATCGAGGCATTGTAAATATGTTCTTACTGCAATACAAGCTATAAAACAATGACCCCTGTTACACAGGCCAGTTGAAATGCTTCGTTACGAAGCAATTTGACAAAAAGCTTCGTAACGAAGCAATTTTGGGCCAGTGTAACACCTCCGCCTTCGTTAGAAAAGCTTAGTTGATAACGAAGCAATAGAGTAGAAAATTGAACGAAGGTTAGGTCCCAACGAAGCTTTTTTGGCCAGTGTAACAGGTAGCTTCGTTAGAAAATGCTTAGTTGGCGGTTTGCGCATGCGCGTAATAAAGAGCACATTCATCATTTTGTATTAAATGAGAGGAATTGCGAGTAAAGAACATGTTTTTAAGTACGTATTATTATAATGCTACGTTTTGATTAAAATAATTACCTATTTGCGTCACTGATTGACGCTAACTCAAGCCCCAAACGCCACGTACAAATGTGATTTACCGTCTTTCGTAGCATTTCATTCGATTCCCTGTCTTTCCTCGCATTGATATAACAAAAAGTATTAAATCTAAAAAACGCAGGTTTACCGTATATGTATACGGTAGTTTTGAAACGTTTATCTGATCTATTAGAGAATAAACTTAGAATATTTAAATGTCCCTCTTTCGGAAAACTCCGTCTCAAGTGTGGAAGGGTAAACTTTTGAAATTACATAAGATATGTTTACTAAATAGAAAGTTGTGGCATACATGTTTAATATTAATTTTTTCTTGCTTCCCGGTGAATCACATCGGGGAATTTAGCCTATTTGATTGATTCGAAAATGTCTCTCTTCAGAAATCGTATTCAACTGACTATCGCCCCATTGCAATACTTTTTCTAGTCGTTCCATTATTTTATTCTTCGACGATTTTAAATTGTAATTGAATTTAAACGTCATATTTAAATATGAATTAATTACGTTTCAAAACTTCCGTATACAAATACGGTAAAACCAGCTGCGGACAAGGAACGGTTGCCAAAATTGTTTCTTGTCGACAGATATTTGCCACAGAGAGGCTGCATGTTTTAGGCCAGCCCCAAACACTATTGATGTGTCGTAAGACGATGCTTACAACTGATATTCAAGTTTCTTCCTATTTGCGCCATTTTCGAATTTAACTGATGGATTAACATACTAATTTATGTCAAACTCACTCAAATATGCATGGAATATTGGCGAAACGGGTAATTTTCATATTAAAATGAATTGGTCGTGAAATAGTAGTTAAACCACCAGCCGAACACCGAGATATTTTAGTAATGGCTACACTATTTGAAATATAACTGAGAAGTCCACTGGAAATTGAACGTTTTTATACGATATATACTAGTCCTCCGTATTTTGTATTCCATATGTTTTCCAAAGGAAATTATAGAAAATGAAAACAATACTTGTAATCGTATTGACAGCTGAAATATATAAAAATCGAAATGATAGGAAAAATGTATGAACATGTGTACTGAATGATCACATTCATCTGGTTTTATTTCCCGAGAATTTTGAACTAGTCTTTTTCTGTGTTGAATTGTTAAAATAAAGATTAAAAATTATATTTTTGAGTTTGATCAATGGTTTATATCAAAAGAATAAAGATATTAATCATAATAAATGGGTGGGGCAGATGAGTAATGCGCACGCGCAACGAAGCATTTTAAGTGCAGTGTAACACCAAATAATTGCTTCGTTAGGGTTGGATAAAGCCAGTGTGGACACAATTTTTTCGCTAACCTTCGTTACAAAAATGCTTCGTTAGACTCAACCCAGCAGTGTAACAGGTACCAATATGTTACAATTTCATGGTTTGGTTTTATAAAATAATGGCAAAGTTGTTCAAGTTTACAGACAGTTCCGTGACTGAACATCCTGAACGACGTACATGTTCTTGAAAACATTCTCTGACATGTGTGATCGCTTAAGGCACATGGCAATATAACATCATTTGAACAAGTGTCAGTGTGTGGGGCTAGATCATTTACAGAAGCCAGATTAATAATTTCATTAGTCATTGTTGTGGCAGCACTTGTAGGTATGTATCTGGTCCTTTTAAATTCATTACTGTTACATAAAGCACATTCCCATTCATTCCTCTAAAAGTATATAAAATAAACCAATTTGCAGTTTTAAAGTTCTAGTACTCAATTTTGCCAAAGAACAGTACTACTATGTTCCTATGACCATTGATGGACACATTAACATTCCAATATAACATTCAGATGAGGCACAATAATTTTATTTTGCTATATTTTCTTAATTTGCCTTATTTGATTCATTGTCCTATTATCGTTCATCGGTTACTCTGAGAAGGGTCAATGCGTTGAAGATGCTCTTTCATCAGTGTATACATGGTTTGATGTCGTTCCCATGGTTATTAAAAACAGACACCTCAAGATTCAATGAATTGTTTCGTACCTACTTGGTTTGCGTCGCTGTGACCATGTATGATGATTCAATCTGTTGTTTTCCATATTTTGAGGTTGCAGATATTGGCAACACATTCCACTATTTCTTTGTGGATTGTTGCAATGAAATCGAGGCAAACTAGTAGGCAATCCAATGTTGTTAGGAAACTTGAATTGAAGAGCTTGAAATGATAAACCATGACATCTCATTTCTTCTCAGCTTTGAGATCACTCGTGAAACAGACAGATGCTATGATTGTCAGAATGCTTGACATTTTTGAATGAAGGTGGTCATTTTGAATTTTTTCTTTGCAACACTAGTGTCTGAGTAGATGTACTAAAGGTAGACAATGCAGGTGCACAAAAATGAATTAAATGTATAGGGAATTCGGTCCGGTTAAAGGCTATATTACGATAAACTCGTAATATAAATAACACTCAAAGTTTTGCTTCTTGTGCATAACTCCTTTAATCAAGGAATTATTAGGAATTACACGACATTATTTACTTTACACTGAGGCAAAAATAAGGTGATACATTTAGTATATCAAGCCCGGTTTATTTTCTTAAGTAATTTACTTCATATTGCTGCATGATATGATTATTATAAGAGGCTTTAATAGTTACATTCTGAGGGTAAGCTCCAATAATATAAGATTAATTTAAAGGCCAACAAACACATTCATATTAACAATTTATTCCAAGAAAATGCATATGGTTTAATATGGCTCATTCTAAGAGTTTTATATGTTTACTATAATCGATTGCCCGTCATTTCAATTCTGAACAATTTGTAATCGTTAATAAAGTTACGCATCGTTATGGAACATCAGGCTCATCAATATTTATGTGAGAATCGATTGCTGAGTCAATTAGAGTTCTAGGCCTCATCCGCTTACTCTTGAAGCGGTCCCGGGGTAGCTGTGCTCTCCTTATTAGAGGTAATATTACATGAGTCAATGTCCCGCTGCGCCTGACCCAATCACTTATTCGTTTTACTTACAGTTAGAAGACCCCGTCGGTTAGCTTCCTATTTTTTGTAAATTCTATTATTTTGACTATATTATTATCATAGATAATAGTAAAAATGATGATATTTAGGAACATAACACAACATGAAATGTATGTACATGTTGTAACATTTGTTATGTGCACTCGAATGGTCAGATCACGTAGAGTACTGTATATATGAAGGGGTTTCACGAGAACAGGCAAAATAATGGAAATCGCCTGTTGCCTGCTATTTATGAAGCACCTGATACAAGTGACCAAAACTTGATTTACATCACGTTCCTATCACGCCTGATTGTAGTGTAATTGTGGTTTATTTATTTATAGTTTCAATGCAACACTCAATAATATGAATTTGATTATTGACCCGTCGGCCGTATGGAGAATCATACCAAAGGAGATGTGCGCTTGACACTTTTATCCTATTTTGCGAGTCGGATTTAACTTTTCCGAATAAAATCACTTTTCGAGATCATATGCCGCTTAACCGCCATGTTGGGTAATAACTTACGATAATTATATCCGATGCAATAGTAAACACCCAGCTTTAATCATTGTTAGAAACACAGACGTCTTTATTATTAGTAACATAATGTCTTAGTACCATGTGTGTAAAGACATGAACATGATATAACAATTTTGTGGGATTTGCCAGATACCAACCCCTCCAACAGAGAGTTTGGTAGACGATTACATATGGTGTTTCAATACTCCAATCTAAGTGAAACCTTATATGTAGGTTCCCACGGGGTATTCAGGTTCCAGGTAGTCATTAAAAACCGGATCGATATAAACCGGTCAGGAACCTGAAGTCAAGCTCACAGAAATATCATTTCACAGATTTTCTTCGGTGTACCAAACTGATTTAAAGTATATCATATAAAATGTCACTGTTTTCTTTGATCAAAGTATACAAATATATGGAACAATATGCATTCAAAATACCAATCTGTGAGCATAGATGCGATACTCTTGTTAACTTAAAATTGTCGTTTCCTTGCTCTGGTAGTTTTTGCTGAATCCATGTCCAATTTCTGTTGATCCAGTTTTTATTTCCTACCAAGTTCCAGGTCATTACAAGCAGAGTTTTATAATGCTGTTTCAAATGCTAATTGAAAAGTACAGATGTGTGGAAAGTATCAACGAAAATGATTAATAACATGTTGAATAGCGAGCTGGAGAAGTAGAAAAAATGAATAAGGTTCAGTGATCTTCACACAGATGTCTGATTTAGCAGAACAACAGGTTACTGTTTAAATGACACTCGCCGAATGACATTGTTATCATGTCGAACGTAATTCTACAGCATTTTCTCATAACAAATAATGAATTGCAGCATTAGCCTCAATTTTCAGAAATCTGGTGTCCGTTTACATCATGTCATGGCGTATTATTGGCCTTATGATTCGTTCAATAAAGAAATTATTTTTATATTTGTCTATTTTAAATCCGATTCGAAAAGAATAGGTACCGCTTGACAAAATGGATTTCCCAGGTCCTGGGATTGCCGTTCTATAGTTCGAGAGATACAAATGGACATAGAATGTCCAAGTTCCACCATCCGTACTTATGTGTCCTCGTAAAGAATGTAAAGGCCCCTAGTGTGTCCTGTCCATCAACTCAATCCACTCATTTATTTGGTCAATAATCTAGTGTGTCCGGTCCATCAACTCTTTCCAATCATTTACTTGGACAATAATCGAATGATATTCTTCTCTGATGTATCGAGTGAAACACACTCTTGACATTAAAATGTTTAAAAGTTATCTAAATAATGATCAAATCTGGACGATATATAATGTGCATTTAAAGCCCCTAATGGAATACGTGTTTATGCCTTAAAGCTTTGTATCATCTGCAAAACCTAAAACAAAACTTATTTTCTGAGTTGAAATATGTATTATCTTCTGTTTCTCATTTCCCAATAATATTTTGTGAATTTCAGAAAAATTTGGAGAATTGAAATCCCCGAAACCAATGATAAGTGAATACTTCTCATCATGAAATGTAAGGTTAATAGAATTCACACAATGGGAATGAGGTATTCTGTGAGGTACTGTACTTGTTCATGTAGAAAGACTATTACACACAAAAGTTTTAGAATAATCATGTGAATAATGATTTTCTTCTTTCAGACTAAAACCTATTATGATCCCATATATGAGGAATTGGAAAATGGAACAAAGATATTAGGTAAGTCATTCAATTACATTCTAAGTTATGCCCATAGTACAATTACAAATGTCACTAGTGTAGCACAAGACTTCCTGCTTTGTACTGTAAAAGCTCCAAAATATTATTAAATTATTAAATATTATTAAATATCATTGCAAATAAAACAAGGCTTAGTGTGAATGAGATCACATCACACAGGTTGCACTAGTTATTTAGCGACAAAGAATAAAAGATATATACAATTGCAACTATATTCCACCAGTGGTGCAGTGAAAAGGTTCACAACGCTTCACTCAACATTTTTTCTGGTGCAACATAGTATTTATGGCAGCCGTTTTTAAAGAGTGTGATAAATCAAGAAACCTGTTTCTAATATTAGGTCATGGTTTAAAACTCATCAGCCAATTTACAAGCTTTTTGATGATTGTTTTTTAAATGAATCTGCCGCCATTTTATCACAACTCAACATATCTATCGTAAATCTATAGAGTCTCATAGCTAAAACATATTAAGTTATATCAAAACAACAAAAAACGACCATATGCTCAAATCTAGTACTCTGTCGTCTCGTTGAAATATTCATGAAGTGGTTGAGAAGGACTTTAATGATCATGAATAACCGAATTTGTTTGAACTGTCCAATGGTAAATGACTGTGTTTACATTGTATTTGGAGAAGTAATAATGTTAAGATGAAGTTGAGATATTCTTTTTGTGCATTGTGTAATGTATACAACGACTTTTCCAACCATTTTGATATAACTGTTGCTCCCTTGAGCTGTGTCCACACAGATATCACACGCTGGAAAGATTCGTTGACATCCAGTGTGGGGCATTGAGGTATCACAATTTAGAAAGCGAGACAGTTGAATTGTTTTATATCACCCTGTAGAGGGTATTTGATAATGGCCATCCCCCCAGTTATCGATCCTAGATGACATACATCCATTGTGATCATATGAAAGTCTAGACTTGAAGCAAGTTTGAATTAGCTCAGCACTCAGCAGCATTTGCAACTTGCTACAAAAAGTGCTCATTTGATTGATGGCATGCACTCGAACAGTCACATCGTGTAGGAATAAATGACACAATGGATGATTATACAAGTATCTGCTCCTCTCTTTAAATTATCGGCCCTTGGGCTAAGATTTCACTATGTTGCCCTTTGAAATGGGGCTATTAGTATATTGAATAGATTATTGGGCGTGTTATGTAGGATTGGCTATTGACGAGGGATGGGGTCATTATGAAACACCCTGTATTCTTACAATTGCAATTTATGAAAATTTGAAAATGGATCTTAATTTTGATTTCCCCAAAATATTGTATTTTACTACGAAGCCCATATAAGATTTATTTCTCTTTTCTGTTATAGTAAGATGTAGCTAATGTATCGGTTTTAACCAATGATTAAGCCTTCAACTCATCTATAATTGATTCGACATTATAGATACTGGGAACACTTTGAATTCCCGTGGTAGTCCATGTTACTTTTAAATTGTATTTAGAGTCCAACAAAAGAAGCGATGGCGCCTATTTGTTGTCATAGAAACCAGTAAATTGTATAATAAGAAAACAATTATGTACCCTCGATAAGTTCCCATATCCCAAGGGAAATTATATTTCCTACAGAAATCTCGTTGTTGACGGTTATATTAATGATTTTCAACACTTTAAAAAGTAAAACCCGCCAAGTAAATGAATTTTGCCCTAAATTAAAGCAAGACATGTTATATGACTTGCCAAGTCTTTTCGCCTTAATTCTTTCTTGATTTCTCCGGCGACCATTTGGATGCACCAGACTATTTTCATGATTTCCCTGCCTTTCACGTTACATTCCCAAACGTTTGTCATCCGGGAGTTTTCATCGGATAGTATATCAAAGTCCATCAATGCTTGAATCTTAATTTTGTTCATACTATTGTACAATAACATCTTACAGTAATTTGGCAAAAGATGAATCTTTTAATCGACAAAAGCTGCAACCGGGATGGGGGCATTCTGATACTCATAGCATCTCACTCTCTGTTGCATCGCTATCCGGAAGGATAGAGATGGAGAAGGCGTGGCTTACCACGATAGGATGGGGGTCTAATACTGCTTTAATATCGTATATCAGCGAATATTGTTTGTGAAATGAGTGTGTGTGTGTGTGTGTGTGTGTGTGTTGGGGAGGGTACTCCAAAATTCACATTAAGTACTTTCCAATTTTTACATGGATCTACTCTGTACGTCCTTGACAAATTTCTCAACAAATTGGAACCATCCTCTTGAGATTTCAATACTTTATTTTGAATTTATCTTAATTGTTTGAAATGGTCGCGTTCCTAAATGGAAGTCGAAACCAATCATTTCATTAGCTCAGCCTGAAGTAATCTTCCTAAACATGGAGTAATTTTCTGCCGTGAACTGAATAACTTAATTGTATCTTTGTGTTCAGGTCTCTTCATGTCACACCACACTAAATAATCTTTAACAATTAGGGTCACGGCTGGAGCCATACAATTTGCAATTGAAAAGTTGGCCTAGATTCCTTACTCAGTGCAGTATATGTTTAGTATATACGCATAACTGGGACTTTTAAATGTGATAATGAGGATTTTATTCTCTAAAGTCATACGATTTCTCGTATGTATTCTAGCATTAGAAAAAATTGCGAAATACACAAGTAATAAAGATGTTCCCTGTTATCTCAACTTTGTTCCATACAAACCCCTTGCTGACAGTTAGAGCAAATATATGTCTATGTATACAATGCACATAATGTATCATTGTGCATTTCAATTAGCATTGACACTCTATTTCTCAAGTTTCTATTGACCTTTTACATTACATTATTTTTATTGTCTGTTTATTTTTCAGTCGAAAAGAGATCCCGCGTTGGTAAACAAGAGGGGATGAACATCCTAGGTATACTCGTTTTTACTATAGCCCTTGGCATCGTTCTTAGCAAGCTTGGGGAAAGGGGTCGTACTATCGTTCAGTTTTTTGACGGACTGAACGAGGCGACCATGATACTCGTCAACATGGTAATATGGTAAGTGTGTATTATGAATAAAACAATGAAATTACTTTAAATTATACAATGCAAACCCATTTGCCCCGGGAAGTGCAAGCGCAAGGGACTTTGTATATTGCTTTTTATCGTGAGAAGATTTAGGACATGTTCGCTGTCTAATTACCTTAAACGATTTTAAGTGCTTTGTAAATGTATGCCATCGTATGTCAGCATTTATCAAGTAAACGCTTTTTGATAAGCTTTGCGTGCTTTCTCATAGAACATATAGGCTAATACATTCGCTAATGTTTGCTTCATATCAGAAAGTGAAAGGATGTAAGGACAGTTATTTCTGCCTTCTGCCTTGTCATAAATATAAAATTTATTTACTTTTGTGTATAGCTTTATTCATGCAAACTGTTAATAACACAATATCACACGAGTTACTTCGCATTGAATACATTATAAGTCACCTATTAATGAAAGTGAACAAAAATTAGTCTTTAAAGGAATATTCCTTGCCAAACCATCTCTCTCCTCATATGGTAGCTATAACCATATATATGCTTGCCATGTTTAGCAAAACACGCAAAAATGTTTTGATATGGTCAAATTTGATCACTTAGAAATGTGATGCTCAATTCCAGTAAGCTGCCATCTTTTAAAATTTCACACAAAGTGATATCATCGACTCTTAACTTTGCATATAGCATTAGGCGAAGAGCTATTAAGAATTACAAAACCAGCTAAATATTCTTTTTCAATTGTGTATCTTATTTAATCCTTCTGAACATCTCTTCTTTTATTCTAAGTTGACAAGCCCTGAAAATATTTTTGCACAGAAAGTAATGATCACTTGTCTAGAAGTGATTTTGTGCTACTTTCCTATACTGTTATGGGCAAGGTTATAGAAGTTGAGAGTTGATGACATCACTTCCTGCAAGAAATCTTAAAAGATGGCAGCTCACTGGAAATAAGCACTAGATTTTTAAATGATCAATATTGACCATATTAAAACATTTTCCCATGTTTTGCTGAATATGGAAACTATATATATGATTATAGCTACCATATCAAGAGAGAAAGGGTCTGGCAAGGAATATTCCTTTAAATGAAAGTCATATTGCTATTAGAGCATTACACTGGCTGTGCTCAATCAACACAATTCCTGGAAAATATTGCGCTTATCTTTTAAATATCTATATTTTGTTTATACTAGAGTGTTTCATGGCTAAGAAAAGGACAGAGGTTTTCCTGCTGTTCTTAAACAAGTTTTGATATCTAACATTAAGAGCTCACAAAGCTGCTGTCCACATATCTGAGATATACTACTCCATATAGTCTAACCCCTGGGCAAACCTTATCCTCCTTTCGTGATTCTAAAATCTCTTAAAGAACTGTTGAAGGTCCATATAATTACATCCCATCATCCCTAACACCACCCATACCTTCGCAATCCATATCTATACCAAGATTTCTTGTTTAGTGGGGGACGTGATGTATTTTCCCCGATACATTCATTATTCAGTAGTTTTGAGAGCTTAAATCTCAACACCGAGGGCTGTACTTACGTACATCCTTTTAAAATTAGATGGGACGACTTTGGCGACTCCATTTATAAATCAATCTCAAAGCCAAGGGGAGACTCGTGACTTTTGAGTAGATTTCCCTCTTTATGTTGTAGAGTCCTCAATACTAAAACGAATTTAAATGATGAGTGCAAGGGCAGGTGTAAAAACTCAATATCATTCAAATTGTAATTCCACACAAGGGAACAGTTCACCATTCTGATTTATTATAGCCCCTCTTTACCAATGGATAGAACAGTCTGTGGGTCCCAAAAGGACAGTTCTCCACTTCACAAAAGGATTATAAAACAGATAATAAACGTCAGTTCAATTATACTCCTTTATTGCATATCCACAATAGCAGAACATATCATTTCCAAAAGGCTACTTCATCCTCTCTTGTCTAATGATCTTTCCTGCAATCTTCTAAGTGGCTTCCTTCCTGGACAAGGCATCCAGTCTCATTTGTTTAATGAATTAAGAATTCAAAATAGATTGTTGCAATGATAATGAAAGTATGTCAATGAACGATGCGTTTACACTTAGTTCATTAGGCAAATTGATGAACCACATGCGTTTTAGATTTAAATATATTGTCACGAGAACGAATTAACAATTGAAGAAGCTATTGACATGACGTGTTGTTTGTTCTAGTTTCATGCTAGTATATGAATTTTACCTTAGACTGTTCTTTGTGAACACATTAGCAAAACTTATTTCCTCTATCACCGTTGGTGCTAAAATACGTATGCTTAACATCGCTTTTCAGAAATTGTCTTAATATTCCTATCCATGCGCTTGATAGCAACAATGCCATGTATGATAGCAACAATGTCATTCGTACAGTGTATTTTCTTCAATGTCTTTAACTTTTATTCAGTCGTGCATGGATGTTTGGAAAACATATTTTAACACCACAAAATAACATTTTTGTAATATTTTGTACTCTTTATTCCAGGTATTCACCAGTTGGTGTAATGTTTCTGATAGCAGCTAAACTGATAGAGATGGATGACATTGGAGAAACAGTTCGACAAGTGGGCATGTACACTCTAACTGTATTAACTGGACTTTTTATACATGGCTTTATTGTGCTACCTTTACTCTATTTTCTTTTGGTACGCAAGAACCCATTCAGATTTATATATGGAGTGTTGCAAGCTATCATCACAGCATTCGGTACTGCGTCAAGGTAATACATTATTATTAGATTTGATTATTTAACCATCCCTGTTGAGAAAGGTCAACGTGTTATCTTAAAGTCAGACATATTGTGGTTGTGATAATGAACTTAACTCTATAAACAGGAATCAAATAAAAACATCCCTTCAATTCTCATCATTATGTACAGGGTGACCACTATGTTCAGGAACTTGTAATCCTATTATATCTTCACCAATTAAAATAAATTGTTGAAGTCAAATGGGAAAAATTTATGAGCATAACAAAAGGCATTATTGTGCAAGTATGTCACAATGGATACGAATTGTCACATGAGCAGCTTTACATCGTGACACGAGGCCTAAACATGGTATTCATGTGTGGTCAATGTTCCAACTGCTGGGAACTTAATAATATCTCCTCAACTAATTCATAAATTGTCAGACGGATAACTACTTGAGAAATAGGTGTCCATAACTTGCAAAGTACGTTATCGCATATTGAAGCACTTCGTTGAATTGAACATTCTTTATCAATTTCAGTAAGATTTTCCACCTGGACATTCTACTTACAAAGGTAGCTCAATGTATCAAGTAAATGGTCAAGTTAATTGTCCAAGACGTTCTAAATATGCCATGTTTTCGCTGTTCCTATCAAAATATCCAATCGTGATCGCCTTCTTTAATTTTTGCGGAAATGATATCAATAAGTCAATGACTTAAGAATGTAAACCGGGAAAATCATTGACTGATATAATGCAAGAAAAGATTGATAAGAAACAAGCACCTCGTTATGTGTACACACTCTTTTACTAATATAGAAATTCTGCAACGAGATTGTTGGACACTATTTACCCCATATACAGCACTATTTCATGCCTTTCATCAAGTCACATATCAGATTAATCGAAGCGACTTCAAAAATGAATGCATGATTATAACTTTCTAACCCTGATAAAGTGGATTGCTAACTATCTCTATCTAAGTGTTATTTTACAAATATTCCTGCTACAAAATTGAATTAAAGTAAAACCAACCAAATATTCCCCAGCAATAGCAACCAATATTTCCCCGGAAGTGACAAAACAATTTACATTGTACATGAACTTTACCTTCCTGCACCAGTCATTAATATCTTGAACACGATAAATTGATGGTTGCTCTGCGCCAACAAAAATCATTTTACTCTAATTTCAAGCAAGCCAGAGCACTTATTTTTTAGGATGATTTACCGTTCGAGTCGAAATCAACCTTGTATAAATAGTGATGGATTTGATAAAGGTCTACTGAACCCACCCGTTTCAACTGTGCATCCTCAAACAATGAATCAAATCACAAATTACATTCCAATTAAATGACAAGCCTTCTTATTCTAACTCAAAGAGCCATGGAAGGCCATCAATAATATTATACTTATATGTTCTGATAAAGAAAAAATCATCTGTAATATGATGTGATATTCACTAGATTCTTCGAGTCACAATCAAGACAAAAAGTTTGGAGAAAGATTCTTGGAGCACGTATTGCAAAAGGTTGTACCCTGTATTTAATAGCTAGAGGACGTATCGAGACGTATTAAGTGAAGTATTATACATCCCTTTCACGACTTGAGTTTATTTCCCAAATGAGGATAGTTAAACGATCAGTTAATTCATCATCGTGTCACCAGTAACCCTTTAAATTATGTTAGTATTGGCATTCTGGAATTATAATACAGACAAAGTGATGCATTGAAGGATTTTTAATTAATTATAGCATGTAGGAATTTATCGGTTATCTTCATGTGCAATCGAGTTGCAAGTTCCCCAGTCTTGTGTGCAGGATGTGAAAGTCGTAAAACGTCAACAGTAGCATAGAGACGATCTTATTGTATGAAACACACTTCTGGATCGATTTTTAGACATTGGGGAGCTAACTTGGCTGCCAAACCATAAAAATCTGTAAAATGCACGATGCATCAAGTCATATCATCAAATAATGATGACGATGATGATAATGCAATTTTGGTATCTAAGAGGCAAATATGTCCAAATGAAGTTGATTCATGTTATTGTTAAGAGGAGTGAATTTAGTGATGGAGGTTAATGGTAGAGTTTAATCAGAATGAAAAATTGATTTCAAAATTATCTGGCGACTATAATAAGGCAATGATAGCCAATCATACCAAATTATCTATTTTACAATTTTGTAAGGCATTTTCAATGATAACATTGAATGATCATTGACATACTCTAAGAATATGGTACGGGACCATCAATTATCAGGTCAAATACATAATTGTAATTACATAATAATATAATACTACATGCTACATAATGCTAAGTCATTAGTATTATAGGGCAATGCATGCACAATACCTTCAGCTAGTATACCTTCAAAGATGTCAAATAATTTGCAATGCATCGCTTTGAAAAGGATCCCCATGGTATCAGTAGTTGTAATGTAAAAATAGCATGGATCGTGATACACTGACACTTGCAAAGTTCTGAATATTCATGCAAAACACTTGCTGTATAACATGCGTTATTCCTTTGAGAAATTCCATTATGGTTGAAACAACTCGATATTAGCTTACATATTAGCCCTCCAGGTACCTTGCTTCCTGGTAACACTCGTTGGATCGCCTGTGTGAATGGTTCAGCAATTACATCACAGAACCTGAACATCAGGGGTATAAATTTGCAATTCAGAAATCCATTAATACTCTCATCATCAAGTACATTTCAAGCTTCTGTAACAATGCATCGTAAGCCTGTGTTGAGTAGAATAATGGAATAGAATTATCTCCGATGTTAATTGTAGATTGATGACAAGGCAAGGAAGGGAACTAGAAATCAAATGTCAATTCTATATCAGAATTGACAACCAGTATGATTGAAAGATAGATGAATAAAAATATAAAGTAATAACACCAATCCTTAGCATTGAACCATTCGTAAACTTTTTTTTTAGATAATCCTTCTTGAACTTATGTAGTGGTACAGTATCATGCATTGTTTATTAGTTCCTTGTGACCCTAAAATACCATTTGAGAGAGAATGCAAAATCCAGAATGCAATATTCCAAATTTTTCGAAGATGTTCAAACGTAACATTTTGAAAAGAACATGTGAAGCATTTTCATATTTTTATAATGCGCCTTGCACTGTACAGTATAATGGAGTATTTGATGATTAAAAATTCAACTTTTATTTGAAAAATGGCGGAAAATTTGAATCTTTGAGAAATAAAAAGTTAGATAAAAAACTTTTTTCAAAGGAGGCCTTTAAACAAATCAACGAGTACCTATCCCATCGGTTTAAAATCCAAATATACAGTATCTACATATAGATCATGTGCTTTCCATGTTTACTAGCCTCAGTATTGTGAGGTTCCAGAAAGCTGACCTTTCAAACTTGTAAATTGCTATTTCTTTCATCTCATAGCTTTATCTCAGATCTCACTAATTATAATTTGAAACAATATTATATGTGTGAACTTTTTGATTGACTTCCCATGCTTGATTGGAGAGAACATCTGAAATAGATGAGTAGCTTTTGATCTCTAATTGTTACGATGTAGGGAGAGGTGCGTACGCATCGAGGAGATTTTGAGTTTGGCAACGGAAGAGTGAAGGTGTTGTAGTACACAGTTAAGATATACATATTTTAAGAATAGAAACACTTGAGTTTGATTAATGTATTTTTGTAAAATCAACTCAAAAGCAAGACCCCAACCATATCTATTCGTTTTTTGTTGCAGTTCAGCGACTCTTCCAGTGACATTTAGATGTCTTGAAGAAATAAATGGCGTGGACAAGAGGGTGACACGCTTTGTTCTACCGATAGGCGCCACTATTAATATGGACGGTACCGCACTTTATGAGGCAGTGGCCGCCATCTTTATTGGTCAGATCAATGGCTATGACCTAAACATAGGCCAAGTTATAACTACTAGGTAGGTTGAAAACTACGGAACCACCACTTGTTCAGGTTATCACTCGTTACAGTGATGGCAAAACACTTAGACCTATATTTACTATCGGGGTTATGTTTTGCTGTAATAATTTATTTCACTTCCACTAACTGGAATCTTACTCAAGTTAACATCCCACCAAACGAAGTTCTTGAGGAATATAGAGAAGCTGTCTGTTTGAAGTCCACCCGTCTGTCTGTTCTTAAATACCGGTTGTCGGATTTACCTCAAATAATATAATGTGTTGGTGCTTGACCTCTGTTTGAACGGGAATGTTTTATATAAACCATTTACTTCCACTTACGGCTGCCACTTTATGTGAAAATATAATTCATGATATCTCAAATATACTTGAATTGGTTTCAAAACAACTGCTCAACTCAAAGTAATTTGGGTATTTTGATGGAATGTGTTTCGCTGGGTGGGATTTGCTTCTCCGTGGAGTTTTTCTTGTTTTCGCATATAGATTGTGGCAAGCTAGAATCGTATGGTGTGGTTATCAGTTAAGTGAATGCTAAGTGCTGTTCTATCAATTTCACTTCGTGGAACCCTGTCAATTTAATCAGCTTTATAGCAGCTTTTGCAAATAAAAAGGGTATTAGGAAACGCTTTCATGTGCATAAGCCAATCTTCAAGTCCAAGTAAGACTATTTTCGTAAACATAATATTTCTTGATTTCAGTTTGACTGCAACATTGACATCAATAGGTGCTGCTGGGATACCACAGGCATCCCTTGTCATGATCCCCATTGTACTGACCGCAGTCAACCTACCAGCAGACGATATAGCTATTATACTCACCGTCGATTGGTTATTGTAAGTTTCTACAAATTAATTATCGAACACTTCCCCTAGTTACATTTGACAATACGATGTTTGATGAAAAAATACTGTTAAAACATTAATAACAAGCAACATACAACATATTAATCAATATTAATACAACAGATGAATATTTCAAATAACCTCTTATTATGGAACAAATATACATTTCCACACTCTTCTATTAACCATTCATGTGACTTTTGCATTACAACTACCAGTTAATGTTATCATCTTCGTTCTTTTCTATGACTATTACTATTGAGGGAATAGTACGTTATATAAATAATGTATTTTCTATTATCACGGTATCGATCAATCATAACCTCTGTTCACTGGTTATCATTCCATGTTGCATTTTTAGTAATTGGTTCAGAGAATCAGAATACATGAATAGTTTTGAGAAAAAATCAAATACAATCGGAACTTCTGATGAAAAACGGGCAAAGGAGTGAAACCCTTTACTATGTACCATTCAAATGAATTTCAAATTCAATTGTTAAATACCTTGTAAATAAAAAAGTTCATTTTTATATCTACATTGCCATTATTGTCTAATATTTCGACGAAAATATCAAATCTAACATATTTTGTGATAAATTAGTCATATTCAGAAATATTGATAGATGTCAAAGTCGACAGTATGGTTCATCTGTTCTACATTTGGATTAATGGTATCTACAAGCAATAGTACTTTGTATTTCAGTAAAAAAGTTCTCACACAATACGTTATAATTCTGTGCATTGCTAATACTATTAATAATATATAGTGTAATAAGCCAGCTATATACTAAACTTATAACTTAATTGTATGACGTGTGCATTTTGTCTATTTACTTGTAGGGATCGTTTCCGTACGGCTATTAATGTGCTCGGCGATTCCATAGGGGCAGGAGTTGTGGCTAAACTATCCGAGGCCGAACTCAGGGCTGCTGATCTGGAGCATGCAAAGGAAATAGATAGCAAAGGTCCACCAGGCTATAGCCATGTAAATGACGTTGAAGCAACTGGTGCTGGTGAAAACGCAATGACTCCATTATAGGGACAACTTAATCAACATTGAACGCTTCCACAGTTTTCATAGACAACTGATAGCTCAATGGTGACAATGTGTAATTTCAGAACTCTGAATACTATCAAATGATAACTTTTGAATAAGCAGATTTGACATAAATAAGATTGTCTTGGGGCTTAATCCAAAGTTATCATAAGCATATAGGGCCAAGGGAAAGGAGTTTTAAGTTCGATATAGATGATCATTCTATATTGTGCTTACTATTACTTTCCCCTCAGCCTATGATAATAAACCTGGAGACTTTTAAGGTCATTGTTGTTAAAGATGTGAACGTGTGCGCAATGGTGGTCCCCTGGGCATGACTCGCCTGATTGAAAATGAAGGTATAAGGGAAATAGGTAATTAGGTCCCTGTATAAACCAATTAGAGAGAGGCGATTATCCCTTTGGGTCGTAATATTACACGTTCAGGTTCTCCCATAACTTGACCTCTCCCTGTTAAGAGAATAGACGTTACAGAAGCCTTTTATTTTGTCATCACAGGAGATTTTGTTATTTAAAAAAAATTATATTGCATTCAAAATTAAAGTCAATAGCTATATGTATTGTTGTTTTGATAACAACTATATGCATACTTTTTCAGTTTCTGAATGCCATCAGATACATCATGTACGAGTGCTATATTTTTTAACTGAACATGTTATACATGTTTATCAAATAGTAATAAACTAGTATTGAGTACAATCAGGACACACTTGGTTAATCTACGCGTAGCTACATTAAATACTCCTAAATTACGTACATTAACGGGTTAATTGCATGGCTGTATATCCAGGAAGGAGTATGCATTTTGGTGAACAGCAAAATATTATCTTTACAAGTGTGCTAACCTGGGTCAGGGTATTATCATTTTCATAAATTTCTCAGCATCAGAAGAACTATGAGTATTTAGTTTTGGTTTGCTATTATTTTGCTCTGCTGTGAACATATTGCAAATGCACTTATTACCTCATGCTAACATTAGAAGTACTATGCAGGGCTAGCTTGTCACCAAATATCATCAAAATTCACCTCGATATACTTTTGAGCGAACTGTGTGGAATCTTTGCATCAGTTCTGTAGGAAAATAACAACAAACATAATTTTATACAATAAATTTTTTATTTACAGTCCTCTTTCATCAACGTATTATTATCTAGATCAGCTGTAAATAATATTGTAAACATTTAGATTTGTGTACATATGTATTGTATATGTTTAGCTAGATGCATTATATTAATTACCGTATATAAATATTTACATGTACAGTTCCATTAATTAATAAATGCATCTGTAAAACCATGTCACAAAAATGCACTTGTAAATCACGTCACAGAAATGCACCTGTAAACCACGTCACAATAAATACAATGGTGAAGAACGAGTCGAGAGTAAACGTATTACTATTACATCGTTTACTAATCACTTAAATAACTATATTTCTACCCTGCGTGCAGAGTCTAGTTAAACTACACTCTGCCTAGTAGAGACCATATTACAGTTTAGTAGCCCCGCCCCCACGACGGGTACCGGTGACAGTTTGGGTAATAATATAAATCACTTCTGACCTATGCGCTGACCTTTCTTCCACCATTCAGCGAGCCTGAACAAACATACGCCAAATGCGTTCTAATTAAATATGCGCATGTCATTGGTCAATTCCGGGCTCAACGATGACGTCAGAAGGAATGACCATATATAGAACGTCGGTCAAATTTGGCCGACGAACACTGATTGGCGCGGTGAGTTCACAGGTTTATTTTAGTTTGAAAGAGTGAAGACGAAGCTCTCTTTTAAGAAGTGAAGTCAAACGAATGCAAAGGGTACTATATTTCTGACTTATTTGTGAAAATATTAACAGACAACTGAGAAGGTATAACATCCTACCTAAATACAGATGGTGAATCATAAGTGATGTTATATATTCTCATTAGTAGTTATACATATGTAAATAATGGCCCATACTTAGCATAAGAGCAATGATTTGATGAGTGTTCAGCTTGTGTCACATACATTAAACGATGTCACCTTTTAAATGAAAAACCTCATTATTGAACTATCAAATGTGCACATATGGAGAATGGCGTATTCTAGTTTTGAAGATAACACACCTCTCTTTATCCTCACCTAGACTCCCACACTTGTTTTACTTAATTAAGATAACAAATTAGATGATATATGTATTATACAAAGCGTTCATAAAGTTTTTGCAAACATCTAACAGGCCTAGACATTAAGCAATAACATAACTTAAGAGATGTATTTATATATTCTTTACATTATTCTTTATAACTTTTGTATTACTTTGCAATTAGATATATCACGTGATAAACTGTTACCTCTCAGTTGTTATGGTTGCTATTAGTAACCAGTGTCATATATTAAAATGCATATTGTTTCATTATTATATTAAAACGAATTCTTAAACGAAGTTATAGCTTAATGTTTAAATCAAAATTTGGACGAACTTAATGAACACCTTGTATATATATGTCAATGAATTTTATTGGTGATAACTTTCAAGCTGACTTGTGCATAGTTAACTTGATTCATTATTGTATATTTCGAAATGAACTTAATATCATATGGAATATAGGCATAATAGCATTCTATACTGTAAATAGCCCATATATTTTTGATCTTACAGCTGATCAATTACTAACATAGAACTATGTCAGTGTTAATGGTAGTTGGTTACATATCACAATCCACTTTGTTGTTTTCATCAATAGTTGAGCATTCTGTGACCATGGAAGAATTCATAGTAGATCTGAAAATATAATTATTGTACAATAAAATCTCTATGAATCACGTTGAAAGGTATATGATACTGTAGTTGCACATTGCATAGCTAATATAAGAATTCAGATCGAACATCTGGATTTTTGCTGTTGCCAGGATGAAAATAATAGAGTAAATATCTTGCATCTATTGTTTAACCGTGGTGGTCACGTGATATGTTTTTGTGGAAATTGAGTCAGATATTCAACTATTTCAAAGGATGAAACCCTTGTCAAATATGTCATTATTTTCAATCCTGGTATGACACAAATTAGTGTTTTGCAGGTGTTATCATTTATGGAAATGGATTTTTTACTTTTAGATTTAAGCTCTTAAGTTTTAAAACCTACGAGAGTAATGTAAAATAGATCGGCTTATCTTTGAGGCTTGGAACAATTTTTTAATGCAATCAAAAATTAAAATTCGACTTCCAAACAACCTTTCATGACCTTTCAAAGTTCAAATTCTTTCAAATTCGAAGGTCAACTCCTTATTCTTGAGTCTGTACCGACCTAAATGCATCATTAAAGGTCAATTCCTGAATCACAGTGCAAAACATCTAGATCTGTTATATTTTCTTCATTTTCGCCGACTTAAATATATGGAATCATGAGACTGAAATGATCAAATTTCAATAGCTAAGTTATCACATACTCCTCTGTGGCAACAGTATCATCTAGAGGTAATGACGTCACTGTAGTCTTTGCCAGTTCGATATCATTGTCCGTACCCCAACTTATGTCAAAGCCTGATTTTCGTGTTCTGTAATTAATAGACAGTTTGTAAACTACACATTCAATGTATAGATAGATAAACAAGTGTATTCTATTAAAATAAAATACTAAAACTTAGATCAGAATAGTGTTTTACGTTATTTTGTAATCAGGATAATTATAATTTACACTCGGGTAGTCTCCACGCCCCAACTAAACCGTTAGCTGCTGCTGTCGCGGGCTTGGACACTACCCTTGGTTATGATTATTCAGCTTATTCCCCCAAGTCAGATAAAGACCCCAAAGACGGCGCTCTACCTCTTCACGGACACACAACTCCTGATTCCTACAGCAACACAAATGAGTCCAACGATTATTGCAACAACAACAGTCACAACAATCCATGTCTGTAAATGCAACTGCTTTGATGATTTATTAAGTGGGTGCTTCATAGCTATCTGCAATGGTACAAAACGTATCTTTGTATTAAACTCAATACAATAAAATACTGATAGACGTGAACATGACAGTCCCATCAACATTATGATCATGAGAGTGATCACGGTCACATCGTGATCATTTAGATCATCAGAGCATCGTCACTAAATTATTTTCGACATGAAAATGATACATCAGACAATGATAGCGATTATTCAGCTAAAATAGTAATTATGCAACTGAACATTGAGAACATAATGATGGTCAAAGAGATTTTGACTAATCGTCACGGGTATGAATGTGTAACTTTATTGAACTAACAAAATTTATCATTAAATTTATGATCATTCAGATGATTTGGCGATCATGATGAATCACTTTATGGCTGATCTTTTATTTGGGATCATGATAATAATAGTGTTGTCGATTCAAGATTATCTGGTAAATGTTACAATGCCATCACTGGAAGTTTATGACAAATTGGGATCATTTATTTCACCTCGAAATATTTCTCGATGGATGCCAAATATTCTTGTTTAGCCGTACCTGATGCCCTATTGCTGTAGACAGAGACTTATGGTGATGAGAAATTACATTTTCTAGCTGCTGTCTGGTTAAGATGGGGAACCTGTTGTTGTTGAGATCGGCAAGGTAGAGTTTCACCTCGACATTACTGTTCCTCTGTTGAACAGAAACAATTACCACCTGGCGTGTTCTAAAACACCAATTTGCAATATATATGAACTAGTTGGAAGCCAACATAAATGCGCAATTCTTGTTTAATTAAGCAAAATGTCCATCGGCTTGGAGGTACGGGGATTAAACTAATTATCTTTACCTCCAATACGCGTCCTTAATTACTTTAATTGTCACAAATGATAAATATTTGATGACTCTCCCCCTTTGAATGGACTTAATATGATGTTTAACACGCACACGTTGAACTGTTCGCAACATACGTGTAACTATTAGAACCATGTCGCACTGGGATACCTTAACAGCGAAGACTGCAGAAGCCGGTGCCGACAATGGACGGTTTTTAATTTGTTTTTTAATTAGAAAAGGATTGAATCCTAGCAATCCATGTCAATCTTCTGTCGTCAGAGTTGTGATTATAAAAATCTAAATTATACTGTTGTCATTTTAAATGACTTTTGGTATTACCTAATAAAAAAATTATCCCAGCAGTCCATTAGTGAAACAAATTAGTTGGAGATTGAAGGTTGAGTTAGAACCCTGAACATTAGTCAATAATGTGCCAATTCCTTAAATATTCTCCACGTCAGCTGATGAGACTAGAAATACTTCTCTGAAATATTTCTATTTGATATAATAATTCATAACGTCATATTTTTAAGTCAAATAAACGGTGTTCGTAACGCTTTATTGATGCAACAGCAAGTCTCAAAGACTTTTACTGTACACGCTGTAATGAATCTGTGCAAAAAGCGACATTAGTCCACCATTGTTGAGATCAGCTTCTGCAGTAACCGTTGTTTGGATATCCCTATGAATATCCTGAAGATCATCATTATTGTGTTCTTAACTATTCTTATTTCGCATTTACGACATCTAAGTATTGCTATTAAAAATTCACGATTTGTTGTCTTTGTATCAACGAGTACTATGCCGTTCAACTGATAAGAAAGCTGTTTTGAGCACATGGAAATATCTACATGGCCGAGCATCTTGTTGCTTTTCATATTTCATTTTTTCATTATGATACTATTTATAGATATTCTTTCTTGAAATTATGAAATTTATGAGGATCACTGGATTCACTGATTCTAAAAGGCCATTCAATCCTTTGTGAAATAAAGGATGCATTATTATTCTATACTGTGATCTGATAGCTAGCAGTAGCTATGTGTGAAGAGGGTTCTGATTATTTCGATTTTTGCAAAGAACTTTTTACTCATTTTATATTGATCACTTTAATATAATATCCTCCTTCAAGGATACCCATGCTGTAGGCTCTTATTTGCAAATGCTCTTACTGGAATTCGCTGTTTGTCGGGCACGTGTCGTCGCCATGGCAGTACTCCCTGGCCGCCTTTGCAAAATTGTGTTTGAATTCTTCAAGTTCGCGATCCACAAACTAAAACACAAATTAATTAGAATTTGCAGAACATAATAACACCCAATGCAGACAGATCGCCAATAATTACATTCGTATGATGCGGGACTCGACATTCACCAGGAAAGTAGAAACATTTTGTCACCCATGATGAATGACAGTCACATTGAGTTCTCTAAGTATGAAAACACCATGACGTCATGATATTTCAAGGTAACTCGTTTGAAAAGTGATGGCTGTGATTGAAATTACAATGTAAAGATAAAACCGCAACGAAATATTTGTAAATTTCTTTAAAAAACTAAGAATTATAAATCACATCGAATTTTTTCAAAACAGAAAAAACATGTATAAATAGTAAGGCCTGTAGGCCAGATTCCCCCTGGTAGCATTTACATTGGTCTCGGATATGTCATAAATTGATAATTGAAACACAACTATATATTCGAACTTATGATCGAACATAAGTATGATGTGTACTTCAAGGTAATACAGTTACGAGGTACCTTGAAATATCAAGACGTCATGCTATTCTTTTACTTATAGAACTTATAAGTTCTAAGAAATAGTGACTGTCATTCACGATTTATTAAGCAGCAATTTGTGTCATTGGTGACAAAATGTTTCTACTTTCCTGGTGAATGTGGAATCTCGCATCATACGAATGTAATTTTAGGCGATCTGTCTGCATGGGGTGAATAAGAGCACTCGATCAGAAATGTCTATTCGTTTCGGAACGGTAACCCCCCCCCCTCCTTCCTCCATTTAATTACACGTTACAGTCGCTTTATTTTTACATGTTCACTTAAAATAACCTATAAAAGAAAAATTATTTTATTGCTGCATATTTAAAACATTTCTAGTTTTTTGAAGTATTGCCCAGAGAACGCACGGGCGTCATTTGGTTGCTGCTGCATCAGCGTCTTCATTTGGACGGACAGACAACTGCTCTATATTACTACTCGAAGTCCATTCCGTGGGATACAAAATAAAATAAAATTCAATTAAATAAAATGCAATTAAGTTGTTGCACTAACTCAACTGCCAGACTAAGAGATAAACAAAGAGAAATGTTCACGAGTGATTAGAAACTGACAAGTTTTCTTAGAATTCGACTTGTGATACGCACCAGAATCTATCTTTAATCGAGTAATCACTTTTTATTGAACCTAAATTAATTATTGCTTGATATAAAGTCGATCACTAATTCAGTTATCGTTTTCCAAAATTCTCAAAGCTTTGAAATAATACTTGAGCTACGGTATATGACATATATCAGGAAAGGAGTATTCCATCAGAAAATAGGCTATCACTCAAATGTTCTGAAGTGTTTCTCACTAGACAAAAAGTTATTTTTTAAAAGTGATAAAGGTGCACGCACTAGAATAGTGGTAGTGGGACTATTCTGCCTAATGGAGATGTCAATTAGATCGTCTGAGCTCACCGTTGTCACGGCGTGAATACTTGGGACAGACTTTTTATATAAATATACTAGTTTTACAAAAGAGAGAAACATTAAATAATGATTATTTTGGATAGTATTTGCGTCGTATGGATGTTTTACGTCATGAATAATACATTTTCCACATTCATTCATCCAAATTCTTCAAACATTTGTTCAGATAATAGTAATTAGACTGGTGATCAGGCCCGGTGTAAAAGGGTAGGAGGTCCTATCAAATTATGGTCCTACTTTCAATTGATTTATATGGTGACCTAAATACAACTCTTTCCCTTATTATCGTACCCACAATCAGGGCCAGTAAGGGCCTTAAAGAAAGGGGACCATAATCCCCAGGGGACCATAATTTCTTTCACACCGGTTTGCCAGGGAACCAAATTATAGCAATAAAATTATGAGCGAAAAAAGATTTCGAGATTTTTAGCACTTTACCTCTTGAGTAAATAAACCAGAAACCAGAATTGAGATATCGAGATACCTTGCGCACTAGCATCTGCTATCAATATATCAACAATATGGTTAAAGTTGTGACCTTGTCAGGTTAAGAGTGAAACACGAAATTACAGTGCTCATTAAGAATTCTTTCACTCCTGTCAAAGAAATGCAGAATTCACACAACAAGCCTGGATGTCTACAATAAAACGGAGCATTTGCAACTGCTCAATTATAACATAATCTAGATAGGGGTTAACTACAGGGTATCAAACTGATAAAAATGTTCTCCCCTTAATTTCAAACGTATGAACTTTTGTGCATAAAGGTCCATCTAGTTGAGCTAGTCATCTAAAACCTTTAGTGGAGTTGCTCCATGAAACCTTGTTTTATAATGTGCTAATTAAAGATCAATTTAGATACCATGCACACAAAAAAGTCATGCAACATAATAAAAGTCACTGTTACACAACTAGTTACTCTGACGGAACGTCAATGTAACAAAATGGATGAACTTCCTCTGTACGAGTTTTCTTGTTTCTCGATTTAAACCTACTTATAAGTCAAGCTGCAGATTATAATTTGGCACAAAGCTAGAAAATATCGTCTAGTTTTAATAAGTTTCTTCTGAATTTGTTACGTAAATGAAGCTGCAATTCATATATTTAGTCCCTCCCACCAACAAGGGGGGGGGGGGTGGCAAATTTCAGGTCAGAGAAAAAAATTTGGGGCCTTATGGCCTGTTTTCGCACAAAAATATTTTTGGGCCCATTTTTTCTGGCCCCACCCAAGGGGGGGGGGCTGGGGCTCCGCCAGTGTATATTGTCTAACCTTGTGCCAAATGATAATCCGCAACATGACTTATACGTAGTATACTGCCCTCGATAAATAAGTTTAAATCGTTAAAAGAAAAAACTCGTATCCAGGAAGTTCATCCATTTTGTTACATTGACGTTCCGTCAAAGTAACTAGTTGTGGAACAGTGATAGTGTGGATGTTTAAGCTACGGGAAAACATATTTATGTGGCACCCTGTACTACATCAGCGCCTTAGTAGACGTCCTAGGATTTAATACAAAGAACTATTAATATGTTACAGGTTTACTCAATTATATAAGTAAAAGAAAGACGTCAGAGAAAATTAAAACTAGTCCCAAGGAACCATAATTTTAAAAGTTCACGTTCACGTTCCCCCTCTAAAGTAGTAATAGATAAATACCTTTTTATAAGAAACATGTTTGACAACAACAGTCAGAATATTCTCAGACCTATTGAGTCTAGCGACATCTTTTGTAGATGGGATGGTTGAAATACTTGTTGATATTGGTTCTTTAACAGTTTCCGTGGTTGGAGAAATACCATTGGATTCAAGAACGCTTTGCGTCGTTGAAGAAATGCCGTTTAATATGTTTTGCTTATTATCCATGTGTTCTATTGTAGTAGACGCTTCCAGAGACCCAAATGACGTAACTGTAGTAGCCGTAGTGGAGACAGGTTTGGTCGTGACGTATGGTTTAGTAGTCCTGGCTTTAGTAATTGTAGTTGATCTCTCTGTTTGTGTGGAAGTACTTGGTTCAGTTGTCATATCGATAGATTTAGTTGTAGCTGTTTGTTTTTCGAATGCTTTCGGAGTTGTTTCTGTCGTCGTATCAGGGTTTCCTCTGTTTGTGGTTATCGATGTTATGGGTTTCATCGAGGACTGTGTTTGCGTTTTGGTTGTTTGTGATGATGTTATTGCGGGTGGTGTCGTTGTCGTTGTTACAATGGGTGCTTCTGAAGTAGTGGTTGAAGCTGTTGATGTTGTCAATGATATAATAACTGTTGTAGTGACTGCCCTTTTCGTTGGTGTGTATGATTTACGTCTGATGGTTGTATATGATTGCCCTTGAGGTATGTCTATACCACTCTCATTTGGTATAGAAGATGTAGTTTGTGTAGTTGTTGCTGCGTTGGTTGGCAAAACGCTGACATACATTGTCTGAGGGACTGAGAAACTTTCAGTTGCAGTCCTGCTAGTGTTCTTTCCAATTTCAATTCCAACGGCTTCAAGAGTGTCAACATTTTCTTTAGTTTTTGTTGGCTCACCGTTTTTGGTGTTGATATTTTTATCTTCTTCCTTATATTCATCATTATCACCTTCACCACTATCATCTTTCTCATTACCTTCAACTTTGTCTGTACTAATATCTTTATCACTGTTTTCGCTTTTTGTACCATCTCCATCCTTCTCGTCAGGCGCGCCACTCTCAACATTCTCGTCTTCATCATCATTGTCGTTCTTGTCGAACTGTTCACCTTTGTTTGTCTTAGCCTCTGAACTCTCGTCATCCTTATCGGGCTCTCTATCCTTGTTATTACCACCGTCATTATCGTCATCGTTATGATCTTCCTTACCCTTCTCATCACCTTCAAGTTCGTCACCCATGTCTAGTTCAACTTGGCTACTTTCCTCATTTTTGTCATCATCGTCATCTTTGGCATGTTCGTCAATCTTGCCAGCTTCGTCAACCTTGTCATATTCACTTAATTCTTCACCATTTTTATCTTTTTCTTCTTTGTCATTATCGACATGTAGTTTTTTCTTATCATTATTGTCATATATGTCATCTTTGTTGGCATCTTTAACATATCCATCCTTGTCCTTGACCTTGTCATCTATGACGTCAGTGACATTTTCAATATTTCTGACAGCTTCAACACTTGATTTATTAGCTACGGTAATAAAACTTTGTACAGTTGTAAATACAGATGATGTATCAAATGGTTCATCTGTGTGCATCATATCTGTTATCGATTCATCGTTTGTGCTTTGTTCCTTGCTGGTAGATTCAGTCTCGTTAGAATAAAAATGCGACGTCTGTTTGGGTGATAATTCAATCGCTTTGCTGGCAGTATCTGATGTTTGAATTGTTGTGATACTACTTTGCATTGTTGTGTTGACACGTGTCGGTGCTGATGTTATGGACTGTGTGGTCAATTTATCTGTGATTGGTATATTGAGAGGTGTTGTTATTATACCATGTGGTGTTACTGGATCAGAAGATAATATATCAGGCGAATTCTCTTGACTGGCTTCTGAAACGTCTGATACAGACTCACTTGTTAAACTTGGAACGCTTGCTGATGTAATATCCGGTGTTACAGTTTCATGAAATGGTTCCTGCAGTGTGGTGTCGTTCTCGTTGTTTATATCCGGCACAGATGTAGTGAATTTTGAATTCTCTTGAGTACTACGCTCAGGTACAGTTTTCGTGATTTGCACTGAGCTCGTGTGTTTTGGTGCCATGGTTGAAACACGCTCCATATCCGAAGTTGGGACTACTGGCAGGGATGTAGAACTTTCAACGGGGGATAAAGCTGATACTGGAGTTTCCGTCATCTCATTAACATCAGTTATTTCCATCTGAGATGTTTGTTCTTGAAATGTTTTTTGATTGATTGTCGCATCAGTTAGCCATGTAGAGGTGGATGATTGTTTTGGTGACGTTGTCACAGAGTCTTTGTCAAACCCACCGGCATGCGTCTCGGTAGTTGGCTCTGTAACAATACTGGCACTTGTCAGAGCAGCTGATTGGAATGTAGTCCGAACATTTTGTGTAGTAGGTGAGGATTGATAAATGTTTTGTGAAGGCTCTATAGATGATGATATCATTGAATCATTGGTTGAATGTCTAAAGCTGGCTGGTGTTGTCGGAACAGATACAAATGTATCTTTAGGTGATGTTTCGGAACTTGTCTCTGTTATCACGGAATCCCCAACAGGATTTACAGTTACAGTAACAGGCGTAAAACCTGGTGCAAGTGTGGTATCTGGTGTTACCAATACCTTACTTGTTGGGGTATCAGAAGTAATAGGAGTTGTATAAGTTAACTGGGAATACGTCGAGTTTGTAGACGATGGCGGTGGATTACTAGTCATTTGGGCTGTTGTCTCAACTACATTTTCTTCTATAGTTGATGTTGACTGTGTACTACCTTCGAATGTGATAATGGGTGGAGTCGATGGTAGAGCTGGAATAACTGCTGTTGTTGCATTATTTGTAGTATTCAATGGTGCTGTTGTATTGTCATGATGAACATTATCCGTATGCATATCATCAGGTACATTGACTGCTGTGGCAGTTTCTTTGCCAATATCCGTACCGTCGAATATATCAAATTTTGATGCGACATCCTTCCCCTCGAACGTTCCATCGGGGACATCTATTGGTTTCTCAACTCCAAATCCTGAAATGAAAAGTTAAGAATCAACATGACAAGCATTTGCACGTTTCAAAAGTATAATACAAGTAAACGTGACCACAATGTATAACTTGATCTATAGCCCTTAACGTTTATTACGTCAGCACCTTACCTAAAGACTGATTCTGTGCTTCACTCAGATACGCGTCTAAGATGAATGTGATGATGATAACCAATTTCATCACTGCAGTTCCCATAATGCACTTTGAAGGATTTCAATCTCATATGCCACGTCAGAAAAATTTGAAAATATTTTGAAATTCGACGGATTATGTGGCATAGTATCTGGTTTTTATCCCCTCTCCTGTTAAAACCATTTTTATGATATTATCTCATAACACCTTTTGCTACGAATGTTTAAAACTATGTAAACCATTGTCTTCCTTCTTGAAATTTCAAGCACATATCCATTACACCATCAATAAACCAAGCTATTCAAATGACAGGAGAAGCCCTACGGGGACAAGTGATGAGTTTAACTCAACTTATGCAGCAAACAAAATGTTTAGTCAAGAGCTAAGGACAATATGAATGGACAATATAAAGGCTATGAATTATCTGTTAACTTGGCCTGGTGCTGTTGTAAATCATTGTTTCTATCGCAGGATACATCGTATCTTACAATATTATCCACACATACAGCTTGGATAGTACATGCATTGCTAATTTTTTTAGACCAATGAGGACTGCTGGAGGCAGTATTGCCATGTTTTGTATTGATTTTGATGTTATTTTACTTCAATATAAACACTGGGTCTCATTGTATATCAAACCACTTTTAGTATCTTAAAAAATAATAACTCTTGCAAATATTCCCGGGGGTCACAAAGCCTAAGTATACTATAGTTTTTGTATCGTCTCTTTTTGCTAAAATCTTCACCCATGACGCGATGAAATTCACTGCCATTTACAAGTTTTTATTCATTTTTATTTCGACTGATGATCAGGTAGAATATAACATCCTTATATAAATTATATAAAAATATAATAGAATAAAAAGAGTTTTGTCTTATCAAAATTGACTGCTGTCCGTACTTTAGATTTTGCCGGGAAGCTCGGCTCTCTAGAACCTTTGGATTTCGTTTGGTGGAATGATAAAGCAAGGCTATAATACTAAAGCTATATTTGATTTGTTCATGATGTGCGTTTACAGTGTCCGTTTGTCACAAATCAGAATTGGCTCACATGTGTAGCCCTCCTTTACTTTGATAGTAATGATGACTATCATAAAGTTCTAAATGTTCATATGCAATATTGTCCATCATTGCTTCATCTTTTTTACATGTATTGAGCTCTGGTTTCCGTTTCATTCTAATTTGTTGGACGATCTCCTTTTCAACTTCTCGGAATGGCCACTCTACTAGGATCGCAAGTAAGAACGACGTCCCAATAGAATAGCCGACATGAGCGAGCCACCACATTTCCTAAAAACGGAAGCAATCATATTTATCTTCAGACCTATTATGGAATCTTAGGAAAATATTTTGCATGCACATTTTAACTCGTTACCACAATTTTGACGCCTTTGAAACTGTTTTGATGTCTTTTGATTCGTAAATCCAAGCAAACAACCATTTGACCTAATGGCCTACTTTATTATTTTGGATTATTTTCATATGATGGTACATTGTTTTTCTAAAAAAAAACTCATACTTTGATATCAAAGAAGGTAAATTTAGGACAAGACGTGTTCTCATCTCAAATAGATAAAATGCAATTTCACACAAACTCTTGCATTTTGTAGTGTAGATATTGTCCAATGAGGAAAAACATGAATATGCTCATATTGAATCTACGGTGATTAAGAGCTATTACGTCGTAGATGCGATATTAGTAGCACTACATCTGAACAATCCAGAATAATTAAAAATTCTTGAAAATAAAAAAGCAATTTGCAATATTTAGGTCACCATGAATGCAATGGAATCGACTACTCTTTGGACGTTTTCTAGTTATTTCTGTTCAAGCCTCGTTTATATTTTGCATATTATGGCATATTACTTGAAAATGAAAGATAATGATATTGTAGGATTTACCAAATTTGAATCCGTGATATAAACCGTGTCTCGTTTATTGTAAATAAAGCTGAGAAGAAGAAGTGGATGTGTAATATGTGCCACAAATGTCAGTCTGCTCAACGGTAAGAATGCTCCCCAGGACAGAATGCTATCCGCCACACCTGAATAAAAAATATATGTTCAACAAGTTATTTATCCATTTTCAATGCATCTTCCATTATCATAGAAGAATCAGTAAAAATACCTTAGGATTCTATCTTCAATAAAGCTTCAAATACTGACCTCCGTATCCTGTTATGCACGAGAAGCACATCCATCCGATCGCCAATGACCACGTCAATGAGCATAATGTTTCATATGCAACAGCTCGTTGCACTGACCACGGTTCAGCACCCTCTATGAATTGACTGTGAGTACCATAGGCAATTGCACTGCACATCGCTATAGAAGCTGCCCATCCGAATACATTCAATACCTACATCATGTACTATGATGGGTGAAACATTTGATGTGATATAATTGTGAAGAATGTGAGTAATAGATCTTTTACTTGAGACGATTAGGCCACATGCGGAACATGCATACATTATACTTTAAGTAAATTGGACATTTACTATACACTATACTTGCCTACAAATATTTTCAGTATAATATTCAAATTCTAGCTCTTTATCTCGATGTACTTACTTTTGGGAATCCTACTTTGGGGAACTGACACTGGTTTTTAAAGAGAATATAACCGATGAATATGCCCACTAGATGAGGTCCTATCCTGGTATATGGCTTCATTATTATATCATAATAGAAGTCTAAAACGTACGTCTGATTGCTGTCAGTGTAGTTCCTATAACAAGAATTGTTGAAGTTCATAAGCCGATGATAAAATAATTTATTTGATGGGTTTCAAAGGGACTAATAACAATGTCAACCGTTGTTCAAGAGAAATTGGTCACACACCGTCATATAGACGTATCACACGTAAGCAGCATTTAGTGCTACAAACATGCTGCTGTCAAGAAAAAGTCACAAAGTTCTTATCCACCAATGGAAAGCTTTGAGTATCAGCCTTAGGGTCTGATCAGATTATCAAGGTGCCATAGGGACCCTGGCATTCTCCTTACTAAAACGAATGTCATTTTCAAATACTGAAAGAAATTGTGTCGCCTTTTTGATTCAAACTATTTATTAGTTATGTACTTCATTGACTATGATATGCTTTATAAAAGTGGTTTATGCATGTTAACATTGTTGTTCATACAAAAAGTTACATATATACTTTATCTAACGTCGTAATGTTATTACCTTGATTCTAGTCTATGATTTAAGACTCCAAGGGCAGTCAAATTTCCAGCAAGAAACAGCAACAGTATCACACCTCCGACGAAGGGAAAGCTAAAAAGATATGTTTTATCAATATAACATCAGTGTTTGACGGTTTTATCAATAGAGAGGTTAAGTCACGCGCATTTTGAATTTGAACGTCAACGTGTTATATCATGACCACCAGGAATTGTTGTTTCACAAACACTTCTTCAAAACAACTTGCTAACTTAACCTCCTTATTAATTAATTTACTTGTTCTCAAATATAGTATAACTGTATAATAATACTTTTTGAGAACTAATAGAAAGCGTAACACTCATTTGGAAAGGGAACTACATTTTATAGGATACTTACTAAAACAACGGAATGAGGATGAACGGGGTTACCCAGTAAAATTGCATAATACAGCCCAGAAACCAAGAATACGTCATGCACTGAAACATAGAAAAATATTGCTGTTTAGGGAGTGATATTTGCCAAGATGAAATCGTCCTTAATTCCCGACGATTTTCAGATAAATGTTGCATATCGTCGAAAGCAGATGTGTCCGTTGCGTACCTAAATACTACCTCTCTGCAAATCTTCAAATATCAACGTAAATCAGCGAACAAAGCTACAATCTCCCTGGATTTCTTTCAGCGCAAGGGTAGTAAAGGTACGCAACGAACGAAAGTGCTTTTAAGAACGTAAACGTTGTCAAGAGCAAAATATCGTGTTCAAAAATGATTCTTACAATGCTATAACTATAGATTAAACTATGGGACAAAGTCTTACTATGGCTTACCCCTTGACGATATTTATAAATGTTGTTGATGTAAAGAATGTTTTTCCACCAGTTTGTCAAACAGTTTTCTCGGTCAGTGACCTGTTCAGGAACGATGGGGCCATTTGACAAATACGGTTGTAGGTTAATGTACACCATAAGTATCGCAGCGTATACAATGGTTAATCTAAAATTAGTTTTTATCAAAACTTAAAAATAGATTCATCAGAATATTTGACACTTTTTATCAGTATCTCATTATATCATCCAAATCATAAGATTAAGCAGTCATAATATGTCACTAGTTGTAAATTAAAAATAAAGGTCACTCGAAGTTTAATAATTTACTGATAAGTCGGACGCACCTCCACCAACGATGAAAGATATAGTATATGCTGGTACTGATGACCTTCTTCACAGTCCAGCCACCCTTCTTTCTCTTTAGAAAGTGTAGGAATGAGTAACTCAGGATAAGTCCACTGCAAGGATAAATACATATTCGTGTCATTAAAACGATTTCATGAACTTCGTGTTAAAGCCTGACAGTGTTTGAATCGTTATCAGCGAAACCCTGTTTTTTAATAATTAACTTCGTTCTCAATATATCTGACCTTTCCAATTTTATTTTTATTTTTGGGATTCACACAAGTCTGATATAAAATAGCATCTCAATTTGATAAAATTGTGATTTCTCTTCAGAATCAAAATGTGCAGATCTCAAAGGCACAATTTTGAGATCGATGATCTTTGAATGAAAACAAACATACGATATATTTCAAATGAGTCAAGTTGGAGGAATAAATGAAAAGAATGAAGATGAAATTCATCTACCAATGCACATTATGAATCAAGAAAAAATGAGTAAAACATGTACAAAATGAGTAATCTTGGATTGAGTGATTGAGTTAATGAGGTGATTAAGTCCCCTCGTAAAATACTCTGGCTTTAGTTCCTTCAACTTGAAGTTAATGAGTGGTGCGTGTCACCTACGTTATCATGAAGAAGGTATCTGCCGTCAGTCCTGCGTTGATAATGGGTTGGAAAGAATAAAGCTCCAGTCTCTCAAGTGCTATTAGTAAATTCTCTGAAAAGTGAGATAATATCATATACAACAAAAATATGACTTGGGTCATGCCTTATGCCTTGGTCACATAGACTCAGATTTTCACTACGGCGCCCGGCCGATGAGTATTTTGTTCAAAATCGGCCGGCGAGCCTGGGCATCGTACGGGCGCCGGCCGATGATCGAGCACCATCGGCCGATTTTTAGACATCGCCAGGGAAAAGTCACCGGCGCCCGGTCGATTTAGAAATCGGCCGATGACTACTGCCCGGCGCCTATGTGACCTAGGCATTATGGATCATTTAAGAATATTCACAGATAGACATGCATTGCATTGTCACATTGAAACCCATAAAAATGCACGATAATCACACAATTCATAATGAGTGCATATGCATGATTGTGGATCATGGCCAGATGTCAAAACAAGGAAAAACAAATTCTTCACCAGAGTAAAATAATTTAAGAGTTGCATTGATAGTACTCATATACGTACTGGTTGTCCATGACTCTGCGTACAATGGTCCCATCAAATGGGTGTGTGCAAATATCAGCCATCCCATACTTAAAACCTTGATGCCATGGAGACACGAGAATGAGCCTTCTTCATGGGTGGCGTTTAAAATCTTCCTGAAGTTTGAGATTCCAGAGAATGTGAAGACAATTCTCTCAATATTCGCTGAAATACAAAATTTAGGCTAAATGATAAATCGAATGCTTTTCAATGTTCCTTTCCCACTGACTTTAAAACTTCTAGGACGTTTCCTCTTTGACAATTGTGCAGTGTGGCAGAAATGAAAATTGGAATATTTTTGAAGACAGTCTACTTACTCAAAGGTTTCCATTGTCGATAGCCATTTAGTTCAGTAGGCTCCTTGACAGTTGATGTGTCCTTATGAGCCGTACCATTTGCAGTTGGTATCCTATGCTTAAGTTCGCCATTCCCATGTATCATATAAGCTGGCATTAAGGAGCCCGTTTTGCCCTGAAAATAGTTACCACTGGCCGGTTGGAGCCCAGTCGGTAAATGCGTAGTCGCATTGTCCATTTGATCTTTTGGAAAGTTAGTGTAGCTGCCATTATTGTAATTCCAGATATCTTTAAATCTGAATGCAGATATTTTTCCATACGCTGTTATTCTGCAGAACTCCATGAACGTCGCTAGAACTACAACTATTGCAAGAATCAGAACCAGAATGCTAAAAGAAACAAAAAGAACAAAAAATAAGAAAAGAATAAGGCATGAATATGCTTTAAAGTGCGAACAAACATTCTTAACGCAGTCTACTATATAGTTTTCTTGAGACCATTTTATGGCAAAAAATAAAAAAATATATAATGAATGAAAAGCATGTTACTGTTGATAGACATGAATGTCGTGGTCAACGTAACTACTGGATCAGGACTCTTTAGAACATGCATGATGCACTTACATTGTGGCTTGTGCATATCCGTCTGTGTCGTAATCGGGTGGCGTCCGGCAATAGCTGTCATACGATATACTTTCATACAGAACTATAATAGGAAACACATTTAAAAATAGTCACGGGACCCTTAACAGAAACTTATTTAAACGTATCCTCGTTCTCTTACTCGATGACGTGATCATATCCCGGATCATATCCATGTTTTATATTTGGCTTAGGATAAATCTTAACTTTGTGAAATTTCAAAGGCAGTGCTCAATAAAACAATCAAATAAAATACCTTCTTGAACGATACATTCTACTGACAGGGGGTCCCAATCACATTCCTCTGGCGGTACTAACTCTTGTTTTAAAAGCTGATTGAGATCTTTCGCATTGCACTCACTTGGAATACACTCGCCATGCCAGAATGTAAGCTACAACATTTTATATCACATGGTACTAACAAGGAGTGTAATTTCCGTTTTCTATTTCAAAAGTTTCTCATGAAAGCTAACCAAATGGACTAGTGCATAATTTATGCTTAAGATCAACTTTAGAAAATGCATTCGATGAACGTTGAACGTTGAACGTTAACACTGCAATTTCATAAAAAAAATACGCTGTCCTCTTTTTAATTTTACTTACAAATTGAGCTCCACTGTGAAGAAGTAAAAGATAGAGCTTCACGATCTCTCAATTTTATCTTTAAATTGAGGTTCAATGTCAAAAAGTGATATCTAGCATCTCTCATATACTTACTAATAAGGAAATGTCAAGTAGTGGAATATCGAGCTCTAGTATCTCTTGGCCAGTGCAGTATTTGGCATTAAAAGTTCGTTTCTCTTGTGAAATATTTGCTCTGATTCCATTACACTGGTCAAAGTTTCCAACAAAGTGGAGGTTGCCTTGTAGGATTCCTGGCCCTATTTTTCCACTGGCATCAAACACTGAAATGGCAACGCATGTAAAGGATGTTGGTTTTGGGGACTTATAAATATGTACTTACATTTGAAGAATCTTATCCAACAGGTACTTTGTATTTTATTCTATATTGACCGTATGAAGAAATTGCAAAATGCAAGTAAACCGAATGTTTGAGAGTTTGGATGTCACTTACTTTCAAAAGCCCAATCTGTGATTGCGCCTGGATTATCGAGATCAAATCCATTTTTCATGAGTGTCCAGTCATTCCAACATTTCTGGCTAACGTTCAATGGTTTTGTGGTCTTCACCGACTCCCAGTGGCCCTTCGGATATTCCCGGTGTCTCTTTTTGTATTCATCTAACACTGTAGGGTTAAACTGCAGAATCTTTAGAATGTATAGTCTCAATTCCTCGGGAATTCTATCTCTAGAATTCAGCATGGTCATGTGTCTATTTTTGCGTATGATGTTTCCGGGTAAGGAGTCCAGTGGACCCCACTCTTGCATGATTTTATAGGCATCGCGAAACTTTGCGAGTTCATACAATGCTTTGGTGACCTGTGTCTTATACGGAAGAGATGCTTTCTTTAGAACGTGTTTAACATTATGCTTGCTTAGTTCTCCATCACAAATCCCAAGTAAAGAATGTAAAATTATCAAAACAGCTACTGAAATTTTCAACATCTTCCTTAAACTCAAGCTCAGCCCGTTGCTCTGCAATATCTTAGGGGCTTGTGAGGCAACTCCTCTTAACCTCTACCTTGAACGAATAAATACAAACATCGTTAACCCTCCAGATGCTGCGTATTAATACAAAATACTGATTTACTACATGAATGTTAGAAATATTTATAACATGCATGTACTATGACCGTCTACTTCTGTTATCTTGAAATATAATATATACACAATAATTAAACATATGCATATGTATTTCAGTATTCAGTGATAAAACTGATAAATTATTTTTTTGAAGTAGTTCTGATTAGAATAAGGCAGAAGTAATGGACATATATCATTTTGGGCCTGAGTATCATAATAAATAACATCGTTATATTATATCACAAAACGCATACATTTAGTAAATGCAAGTGAAGGTCAAATGAATGACGTTAATGACTCCAAGGTTTGAAAATACCAGTGCAAAGGGAGATGTCGGGTAAAAGGATATGATAGAATTGTGGAATGCTACTTGTTATACCTGTGGTTAGATAGCACTTGTATGAATAAGTGAATGCTAATTCACACAAATCTAGGCAAGGCGTGTCCGATTCCAGCCAAACCAATCACACTATTTCATATAACTGCACCCAAAGGTCATTCGTTGAATAGTTGTCAAGGAACAACTTGACTCTACCGATTGAAGGTGATGATGATTCAGTCCACATTGCAGTCCAGGGCTTAAATCCTTAAGTGTATGTATGTATATATTTATTGCCCTTTATGTATTTAAGTATTTAAATGATGTTTCAACATTTGCACTGGAAGCACAAAAACAATAGGATACAGAGTGCAACCAATTTTCCATATTTCCTGTCAACTGCTTAATTTTCAAAATTTGTCTTAAATCACTGTTCCTTGTTCCCAGTAGACAGGTGTTCCTTACAGAGAGGGTCCGTTACAATTAAGTCAATGGAAAAATATTTGGTTCTTTTGAAAACCATTCCCAGTAAACAGGGCCTTCCTTACAGAAAGCTGTTCCATTGAACAAGTAAATATCCACGTGTGTAAATGTGACAAAGTCATAGCTGACCTCGTTGGTCAGTCTACTTATTTCACTTCACATCAGTAGTTGATGTCATAATGATCTTTTTCTGTTACTCATGTTTATAATTATTGCGTTATTTTGATTAGTTTATTATGTCACCACCAAAAAGTGGTGACATATTGTTATGGTCTCCGTTTTTTTGCGACGGCGGTTGGTGGTTGGCGTCCGGCGTCCGGCGTCTGGCGTCCGGCGTCCGGCGTCTGTAACAATTTCTTACAACTTCCTATAACTTAACAAATACTGTTTAGACTGACTTCAATTTTTTTCTAAATCATCTACATCTTCTCAAAAGTTCAAATCTGACTTAAGATTTGACATTTGACCTTCAATGACCTTCTCAAGGTCAAAAAGGTCTTTTTTCAACTTGCTTCACATGACTAAATTTTTTTTCAAAATCATCTACATGTTCTCAGAAATTCAAATCTGACTTTAGATTTGACATTTGACCTTCAAATCTGACTTTAAATTTGACATTTGACCTTCAATGACCTTCTCAAGGTCAAAAAGGTCTTTTTTCAACTTGCTTCACATTGACTAAATTTTTTTTCAAAATCATCTACATGTTCTCAGAAATTCAAATCTGACTTTAGATTTGACATTTGACCTTCAAATCTGACTTTAGATTTGACATTTGACCTTCAATGACCTTCTCAAGGTCAAAAAAGGTCAAAAAGGTCTGTTTTCAACTTGCTTCAAATTGACTAATTTTTTTTTTCAAAATCATCTACATGTTCTCAGAAATTCAAATCTGACTTAAGATTTGACATTTGACCTTCAATGACCTTCTCAAGGTCAAAAAGGTCTTTTTTCAACTTGCTTCACATTGACTAATTTTTTTTTCAAAATCATCTACATGTTCTCAGAAATTCAAATCTGACTTTAGATTTGACATTTGACCTTCAAATCTGACTTTAGATTTGACATTTGACCTTCAATGACCTTCTCAAGGTCAAAAAAGGTCAAAAAGGTCTGTTTTCAACTTGCTTCAAATTGGCTAAATTTTTTTTTCAAAATCATCTACGTGTTCTCAGAAATTCAAATCTGACTTTAGATTTGACATTTGACCTTCAATGACCTTCTCAAGGTCAAAAAAGGTCAAAAAGGTCTGTTTTCAACTTGCTTCAAATTGACTAAAAAAAATTTTCAAAATCATCTACGTGTTCTCAGAAATTCAAATCTGACTTTAGATTTGACTTAAGATTTGACATTTGACCTTCAATGACCTTCTCAAAGTCAAAAAAGGTCAAAAAGGTCTTTTTTCAACTTGCTTCAAATTGACTAATTTTTTTTTTCAAAATCATCTACATGTTTTCAGAAATTCAAATCTGACTTTAGATTTAACATTTGACCTTCAATGACCTTCTCAATGTCAAAAAAGGTCAAAAAGGTATTTTTTCATCTTGCTTCAAATTGACTAATTTTTTTTCTCAAAATCATCTACGTGTTCTCAGAAATTCAAATCTGACTTTAGATTTGACTTAAGATTTGACATTTGACCTTCAATGACCTTCTCAAAGTCAAAAAAGGTCAAAAAGGTCTTTTTTCAACTTGCTTCAAATTGACTAAAAACTTTTTTTCAAAATCATCTACATGTTCTCAGAAATTCAAATCTGACTTTAGATTTGACATTTGACCTTCAATGACCTTCTCAATGTCAAAAAAGGTCAAAAAGGTATTTTTTCATCTTGCTTCAAATTGACTAATATATTTTTTCAAAATCATCTTCATGTTCTCAGAAATTTAAATATGACTTTAGATTTGACTTTAGATTTGACATTTGACCTTCTCAAGGTCAAAAAAGGTCAAAAAGTTCTGTTTTCAACTTGCTTCAAATTGACCAAATTTTTTTTTCAAAATCATCTACATCTTTTCAGAAGTTCAAATTTGACTTTACAAGTTCTCAGAAGTTCAAATCTGACTTTAGATTTGACCTTTGACCTTCAATGACCTTCTCAAGGTCAAAAAGGTCTTTTTTCAACTTGCTTCAAATTGACTAATTTTTTTTTCAAAATCATCTACATGTTCTCAGAAGTTCTTCTTAAGGTCAAAAGGTATTTTCCAACTTGCTTTAAATTGACCAAATTGTTTTAGGTGGTGACATTTTGTCATGTTAATGCCTTGTATTTGTATTATAACAGTTGTTTTAGTGATCTTTAAACCCAGTGTGATATTTCACAATATCAACAGTTTAATTTCCAATGTTTTATCATCATATTAGAGCAGTTTTTAGGCATGAACTATATCTAGAGCCAATCAAACGAAAGGATTATTCTTGAGATATGAGTGGCAGAAATGATATATGAAGTCAACTGATGGGAAATTTTGCAATGTTTAGTTAAGATGTTTAGAAGTTTCGATAGTTTTTGGCATCATCTTGAAGACTGCAAAGGAGGGCGAGTTGTTTGTAGAATGAATCGGGGGATTTTTTTCATGAATTTCGCTTATGTTTTTCATCCAAAAAACATCAATACACTTTAAAACATTTTGTTTACTTTAAGATTACACCATGTAATCCAAAAATATATTTCTCATTTTCAAAGATAATCCATGGATTAACACCCAGGTATTTTTATTTGTCAATCTTCAGAGGGCTGGGAATCAATGATGCTCAACGCTTTTGAATACGATAAATGCTGTTTTAAATAGGTTTTACGTATGCCAATAATTTCTCAAATTATGTAAGCTGAATGCATTCCTTAATCCCTAGAATGCCTATCATAATAACATTCTTTTGTCTTGGCCACTTAATATGTTTTGTTGCTGTCTGATCATCAAATCAAATTGTTGTTATTTAAAGATGGCAGTCAAATCTGGTGAAACAGCACAACATTCACCTAAATAGCACGAGTACATATTATGTAACTCATTCATAATATTTCATGCATCAGGTATTAAGGCTTAGGGGATTAACTTTTACACATAAACTGAACTGACAGATGTGCACGCTTACATGTACAACTTCACGGGTAGTATCTAAAGCCCCGCTATGATTTAGAAGTCGCGAGCAAATACCCGCTGAAATCGCGAGCAATTAAAAGAAAAGAAGGGTTATCTTTTGTTTACTTAAATTGTATGTTATAAAAAGCGTTTTCATTTAATTTTACTCAATTATTACATGGTATTGATACTAAAAAGCAACTTCTGCAAAAAAGGATCACGAGCTGATATTCTGAGTTTTGTTATTCGATAATTGGAGAGAGAATGTATCATCTTGAATCTTTATCTATATATTTCTATATTTTATAGCTGAAGAAGGTCATTGCCCTTCAGTTGAAATGGTCATAGTAATATGAAATGAAGGTATTGTGAGTTTCACTTCCTAAAGTTTCACAAAAAATTATATATTTCAATTTTTGCATATCCCTTGAGGCCCCGCTTCTACCATGAGCAATAAACTAAAGATCCCGCTGAAAACATGAGGAGGCCCCGCTGAAAACATGAGGAGGTCCCGCTGAAATCAGGAGCAAGTGGCTCTCTAAAATGGAGTGAAGACCAATTTGACAAATCTGCCACGACTGTAGCCAACGTAATAAATATATTAATTATTGATACTCTACAGAGCACATATATATCATATATCATTGTCATTGTTATTATCGGTTCGAGCAACCCACCCCCTTACCAAAAGCTGGCTACGAGCATGATTCCAATAAAACCATTTCACTTAATGTATTTCGACCTGACTCCATCGAGAAATTTACCAAGAGAAGATTTAAATCCATTCCACGACTTTTGACAAGTTTCAAAGAACTCGTTCTTCTTTGTATGCAATATATATTTATATTTCACTGAAGTTACATTATACTGTAGTTCAGTATATTACTACCTTAGAGGATTCAGCACCAATGGCGCACACGTTTGAAAAGGCAATTTATGGATCAACTGCTAGATGTAAGTAACAAAGGAGTACATCATCCGATTATGAGTCCGAAATAATAATAATCAAATAATTTCATCATTAACAATTAATCGTAGGTTATGTTAAACGCACGTGTTACGCGGAAAACATGATGCAAATATGTGTCATATTCTGCAATAAATATGGCATATTCACTTGCGGTGTATGACAGATTCAGC